AGAAAAGTCATATTCTCCTGTACGAATAGAATTTTTTACTATAAGATTATTTTTCCCTTGATGTCTCTCTTTTTTTTACTCCATAAGCAAAAGTTTCAATCTTTAATGAAATATTATATAAAAAATAAACTATCAAACGGAATTTAATCTCTATTTTATTTCATATTATCACTGCTCAATTAAATGATATGTTATGACATATTCTGCTGATTGTGTGATTACACATGATTTAATTCAATCGTCACTTGTAATTTAAAATCTCATCATGTTTAATTATGTCTAAATTAAGATTGTCAAGCTATGGCAATTAAATATTCAATAAGTTCTGTCAATAATTATTCAGTTCCACTAGATAATTACACATTTCCGTCATTTTCTAGTATTAGTGAATTCCTTGATTATTGTAAATGAATTCTCTCAAAATTTAGTTTAAATATCTTCAGTTTAAAATTCGATCAAACACATAACATTTTTATCACATATTCCTTTCATGTTTTGGAACAATCTCGATATAAATAAGCATTTTTGTTTCTTTTTGTAAACTTTTATTTAGTTCATTCATGAGTTCCGATGTGGGTGGAATTTGGTAATCTTTTTTATCTACTTCTTCACAACCAATCGCCTTCAAATTTTGTACACACACTGTTTGTCAGTGATAATGAAATGTGGTGAAGCGAATTTTTTTTTCAAATTTTGAATTAAAATTTTTAATTTACTATTTAAACGATTTTTCGCATTTAGAATGAATGAACTTTTAATAAATGAACCAAGTATATCAGAATTGACTTACTTGCTCCATCGAATACAGCGTAAAATATCTTTTCAATGAAGAAAAAAAAAATCTCTCGATTTTTTAGACTATTTGATGCTTATGATTTTAAAATTTCAACATCTAAAATACTATCGGATATAAAACTTTGAAATTTTCAGAGATTACAAAACAAACCTTTCGCCATTTTTAATTCCTTTTATGAAGAAGTATTGTAATTGCGAAAAATTTCGGGTATCGTATTTCAACGAAAATATCCATTTTGACAGCTGTCAGTTCCATTTGAATGATGTTTTTGCGTTACATCTGTAAGTACGGAGGACTCTTTTTCCCTAGACGGATTGTAAAATGGATTTAAAATGGATTGAGAAGCGATTTTTTTTCGTGCATTTGTACGTATCTCGCATAATTCAAAAACACGTAGCCTCAAAAGGTTGAAATTTTGTATGGGGACTGCTGTATATGTGCATCTCCCTTTTTGGTTGCAATCGACGGCACCAAAAGCATATAAATATATGTATATATATACATCCACTCTGTTACCCGGCTCGGTGAGCTAAGATTTTTATTCTTATATGTACGTAAATTGTGTAATTTTTGCATTAAAAGTGATTGAATTATATTGTTCTTCTGTATCGGTTAAGGATTTTACACCTTTATTTAATCTGCATGCAATAGCTGTAGAATTATCAACAATTTAAAAGTTGTTTAAGTTCCACTAAGCCTAATGACGCAGCCATTTGTTTACATTTGAAACTTAGCCTAGCGAATTAAGTCAATTTCTGCATCAACTTCAGTGTCTTTTTGACGAGTGGGGCCAAAAGTTTTGTGCACCGAAACATCTGTCTTTCTGCCTCATTTTCATTCATTTAATTCTAATTTTAATTGTAATTTTTTTTAAGGTATCTAACTCTATTTGGGGTGTTAGGCATTTCTGTATTTTATTATTTTTAATGAAAATGTTTTGAGTTTTATGTACTTTTTTTCCTTGTCGCGAAGTAAAAATTGAATTGGTTGAATAAGAAATATATTTCAAATGAAAATTCGGGGAAATATGTTTAAATGAAATGCAGCAAAAATGTGTATAATTTAATAGGCCGTACAATGAAGTCATTTGGAGTCCACATCAGATATTTTAAAACAAAAGTTATATAAAAAGAAAGTTAGTTGAACTATGTTCTGCATTTAAGGAAGTCTTGCAGTCTAAACCAGCGTTTTGAGTTTGCTATCTTTTCCCACTTAATGCAGAGCTTAAATTGCGCCGGAACCCACCGAAGCCCGCTTCTTACTTTTTAGGATATATCATAATTCTAGGCAGAGCCCTAAATAAGAAGGCAGCAGCACTCGTTTTATGCAACTGAACAATAATTTCAGTAGAAATTTGATCTCGAAAATTTTATTTTAGTAATAAAATTCCAAAAATCGCATATTTCATTTTGTTTCTTCATATTTTATTAAATTTTATTTATTTAATTTCTTTAGTTAATAGTGGAAAGGGGCTTTGTCCCTGAGGCCCTATTGTTTTCGTTTTACGATTTTGCGTCGAATCACTCTGAATGTCCGTTTTACTTTTCAAACTGTTGCCACCAAATATTATCGCCTGTATTATACTTGAAGAAATTAAATAGTGAAGAATCTGCATTAATTCATGCATGTTTCTCGCATAGTGATAAAACAACGGTACCTAGAGCCATTCAATATTGAATGACGCAAATCCTACTGTGAATATGGGCATCTGGAAGCCCAAATTTGAAATTTGGAATTTGTTTTATTTGGAATTTCATATTTTGTAAAACTTTAACTAATTTTTGATTAACAAACTCAAGGATTTCAAAGTGAGCAATGGCAACGTTGTATAGAAAAAAACATTTTTATCTTCAGCGCGTGAGACTGTGTATCGGAAATTATGATGATATGCTCAATTTAAAATTATTTTGCGATACTGCTCTTGAACTGAATTTTATGGTTTAAGTGCGAAGAATATGATATTTATTAAATAAAGGTGACACACAAAATAGTAAAATAAGTCCCTTTGGACGTAATTTAAAATCTGAAACCTTTCAATTTTTTTAAATTATTTTAATGATTAATTATTTAATTTTTTAATTATTAATGATTTTATTTATTTTATTCTTGTTCTTCTTTCCTAACGGTCTTCCACAGGGCTCCGGCACTTCTGACTTTAGAAATTAAGCCCTGACTTAATGACGAAGTTTGCCATTTTGACGCACCTAATGATGAATTGGCGATGTTCTTTTTACTTCCTTGTACGAAGTAAAGGAAGTGTTGTAATAGCCAAAAATTTCGGGTATCATATTTCAGCGAAAATATCCACTTTGACAGCTCTCGAATCGATTTGAACGATGTTTTTGCGTGAGATCAATACGTGGAGTCAGAATAAAGAACTCTTTTCGCCCAATCAGATTGTAAAACGGATTCAGAAGAGATTTTTTCGTGACGTCTGTACGTACGTACATATGTATGAATATCTCATAACTCAAAAATGGGTGCCTCGGAATGATAAAATTTTGTGCATGGGACTGTTATAACATGTAGCTGTGCACCTCCTTTTTTCCCTTTATATATATACACTCAATCTGTTACTTGGCTCGGTGAGCTCAGGTATTTCATTCTTATATGTTGATAAATTGTGCATTTTTTGGTTTAAAAGAAGGTTAAATTATGTTGTTCTTAAATTCTAGTTAAGCTTTTTACCGCTACTAAGCCAAACGAACCGCCATTTGTTTATATCTGAATCTCTTTAGTAGCATAGTGAATTCAGTCAGTTTCTGCCCCAACTTCAGTGTCTTACTGCCGAGTAGGACAAAAATTAAAACTTTCAGTTTAGTGCACAGAAAATCTATCTTCTTGCTCACTGGCCGAATTACTTGGTTTTGCGTATAAGCTAAGTCTGCATTCATGTTAATTGTAAAAATTGTTTTTAACTGGAAAAATTATGTATAATTTAATAGTCCGTAAAAGAAAGCCATGCGTTGTCAACATCAGATTTTTTTCATTTTAGCTTCAATTAAAATGTTCGTTGTTAACATTATTAATGCACCCAATTTCCGAAAATGCATATTCAAAGCGATTTCTTCATTCACTGAATGATGTTCAGTTCATTTTCTCTGTTTCGAAATTTTCTTATAATTTAGTCCTTGTGTTTGAATAATGACTAAAATTTATATCATTGATAACGTGAAACGGAGGTTCAGAAACAGAAAATACAATTAAAAAAGGGTTTTATACAATAAAGCTTTATTTAAAATGGATATGCTAATTAATGCATTTAAAGCAGAAAAATAATGTATCATATATTTTAATAGTAATAATAGATTTAATAATTCTATTTACAGAATTAATTTAGCGATTTTATGTCACGAATAATAAAGGAACAAGTTACGCATAAATAATTAAATTATTAACTCAATTCCATAGTCACATGTATAAGCTATTATCTTTTTTAATTTATCACTGACGTCTCATATTATCAGCAATGTAAAACTGCTGATTAATTGTGTATATAGAGTTATTTAATCTATTATTCCTGTTAAACTATATGATAAATTATTTTTCTCCTTTTAATGCATTAATTATCGAAGACAATTTAAATAAAAGCTTACTGTATAAAAATATTTTTAAACGCATATTATTTATTACTAATTTATCATCGATAATATTTCCTAGAAGTACGAGCTCATTCTCTTTGTTGGCAATCATCAAAGTAATGTAAAGTAAAGTAGGTAATAGGCGTTTTATAAGGTGTAGGCTGATTGATGAGTACTTAGTAAGTGTAATGGATAATGCTTTTCAGTTCACGTGACAAATTTATCTATGAGCAGCTACTGTGGCTTTATAAATTTGGAGTATTTCCAGAGTTAAGATTTTTGTTTGTTGTTTTTAGCAATGTTCTGAAAAGTTGTACATAGTCACTTGTCAGATGTGAGTAAATTGTAACAAAATGCAACTACTGGTGATTTCAGCAGCTGGAAAATTTCTTAACTATTCTCATTACGAAGAAATGGAAGTCAATTTATTTCCATTCCCTTGTGATGAGGATTTTCTAATCTTGTAGTGACTAGAAAGGTATATTTATTAACTCAATTGCAACAAAAAGTATTTAATAAAACTAGATAAGTATATACTTATAATAAATAACAATGTGTCAATTATTTACTATGAAGTATTTCGGAAAAATGGACAAAATAAATGAAATGAAACAATACACTCCTTTTTTGAATTATTCACAAGTTTTAATTTACTCAATAGGTTTTATTTTTACAATAGATAGTCCACTGCAAAATGCATTCTTCATACGCCTTCTTATGGCACAGATAGAAGGTAATAATTGAATGCAGTCAGTCAGTTTATTAGTCAATTTAACCAATCATCAGTCGGTGCAGACGCATACTCGCACTACAACAAATCCGTGAGGGTTTCTAAATGTTCCATTTTAAGAACTTGTGCTTCTAGTTGACGACGAAGGCTGTGCCCATTCTTGTCCAGCACTCAAGCGGTTGCATTATTTAAAAGGAAGGGTAATACACAACCACCTAGTAGCTATTTTGAACGTTCTCCAGAGAAAATGTTTCATATAAAAACCAATAAGCTCATCATCCTCAGAAGTATTATCAAGAGGCATGCATAGTAGTAAATAGTAATCGGAGGGTACGGTTATGGTTATAAGATGAATGATGTAATATATGAATCTAAATGCAGAATTAATTAACTGTATTCTGTCATGAAAATTTGAAGTTGGCATGAAGATAATTGTTGTAGTTTTAGTTTACTCAGTATACAGGATGAAAAGGGCTTTGAAAATATTATAAATAACGAATTAAATTAATATAAATTCATTTAAAAATTCAGTGATGGATGATTTTTATATTATTTACATTATGACTTTATACAATGAATGAAATTTGACTGATAATTAAGGTTTCCAATTGAAAGGTTGCTAACATTTTCATTGTTCTTTAATATGACTTGAAATAACATTATTGGATATTTAATATACAAATTATAGTAATTACTGTTGTTTACTATACATATTGAACAAATCACCCGCTGTTAATTTAAATAATCCACCCGTTAGCTGTAACAATAGCAGACGATGCTTTATTTGCAATAAGACTGGCACATTTCGGGAATATCCTACAGTAATTTGAGTAAATCATCAATGGGGACGGGTCATATGAAGTTTCCTTAATGACTGCTATCTGTTTTCTAGTTTTCGAATAAAAACATTTTGTCATTTCACTACACTAATTTTTACCAAATTTATTATTGTTATGCGAGTCTATGCGAGTCGGAGCTATGTTACTACATTAAAATAATAATTTCTTTCTTTATAAATTTTAATAACATCTATCTGTATTACATAATTACCTAGAATGCATCAGCAATTATATGAAAGTCAAATTCATGTTCCTATTAAATTTTTGATGAATATATTAAAATAGTATAATCTATTCGCTTGGACTTAAAATTTTATGAATACTCAGAATATTTGCATTTAATGCTTAATTTATTTTTGGAATATTTCAACATTTATGGAGAATTTCAGGGTAATACTAATTTTTAAATCCATCTAATAATTATATTTTTTCACGAACAGAGCTAATTACATTAGAATGTACACAGAAAAATGAGATAAGTTATAATTCACTCAAGTTTCAAAAATGCCTTCCGATGTTTCATAAGCATTTACTGTTTTCTGGAAATACAAAATATGTAATCACGATAATATTGACTTTTTTATAATTATAAAGTTAACAGACTCTTGAAATATTCTTGTTTAGAATGATTTAGATACGCACATTTCTTATATATAAGACAAAATTCAAACATACCATAGTTTTAGGCATGCGTCATGTTGCAGTTATTCTCATGTATAACGATAACTTTGGTGACATATGCCCGTTTTTATAAATAAACAGAGCTCAATACTTGCAATATGATAGCAGATTGTTGTGCACTTATTATTGCGATTTAATGAAAGCAATTATTACTGGTAAATTAATTTACCGTTATTTTATCAATGCTTAATTGACAAAAATCTCCTAAAATGTAATTATTTTTAAAAAAAAGAAAAATGAAAAATTTTGTAACGCGTCCTCTCTTGTGAAGATAGAGTCATTTTCGTATATATAATCTCTTAGTCTGAGCCCGATTTCTGAAATAAATAAATATTACGTTTAAATAAATTTTGCGGATAAGCTATGATAAAAGTACTTTTTATTAGCTTTCATTTAAGCTGAGTTTTTGGAACTGGGAGCAAAAGTTTTGTTCACAACAGGAGATCGGATAAGAGATAGTCTACTGTAAATCTTGATTTTATAATTTTGCGTAGAATAAGCAGCACTTACTGAGCAGATTTTAGATGCTTGTACAAATAATTATACATTAACAAACGTATTGAAATATAAATACCTTAGATTACAATTTTGGAAAGAAGATCAACATATCATCTAGCGATTTATCAAAAAGAATAAACTGTTTTTTGCCACTGCACTATTAATCCATTAAGCTCATTGCTTAAGAGTCGATTCAAGATATTCGTAATAAAATAAAAATAAACTGCGTTATCCTACAAGCGAAATTTGATGAACAATAAAGAAACGAGAATGAAAAAGATTAGCTTTTACTCTTTACGAGAAAGAAAATGCATTTAGAAATTGGCAGTAGTAAAGCAACACACACATACAAAAGAAATAAACAAAATAAAATAAAAAGTTAACTTCTTCAGAATGAAAAGGGTATGACTGATCAGAAATAGCAGGTAATGGATCGGAGCTCAAATTGGCCAAAATGGAAGACGTTACTAATTTAATAAGAGAAGACGAAAACGGAGATACACGAAACAAATTAAAAGAGTTCCACTTCATTCTTCTCAGGAAATCAAATAATCAGTAAAATAGATTAATTTTCAAAGTTGTCAGCTAGCTCGAATTATCAAAGTGTTTTCGTAAAATAGTAATCAAATGGTTTGAAGTGAAAGCGCAATCAATCATTTCATATATGTTTTCTCTGGAGTTATCATCCTAATTCATTTGCTACTCGTTGATTATGCTAGCACAAAATGAACATAAACAAAAAAGTAGTTTTATAGTTTTAGTCTGTGACAGAGAGAACTAAAGATAATTACGGCATAGCAAGAGCCACCCGACTATGCGTATTAAAATATTTGTGCATTCCGTTTGCAGAAAGTGTACATATCCTAAAAGCACAATCTCATTTATGTCGCCGTGTTTTACTGCAGCGACTTTTTCCGTTGTAGAACAGCCATGTTTTGCACTTATTACACCATTTATACAAGAAGAGTTTTGTGCCAATATGCATATCTTTTAAGCATCCATATGGCTATCTGAATATCATTAAATAATCACCTGTAGCATCGTTAGTTTAGTTAGTTATTTAATTTTAATTATTTACTAGGTACTGCATAATTAGTACAATGAAATTCAGAAATTGCTTTGTCACTGAAGGGCTCGAATTTAAACTCCGTCTAACACACAGGCATTCATGACTAACGACACTGCAGCATAATCTGCTTTTCGTAGAAATATACTCATGAGGAATTGAAATCAGGGAAAGCGAGTTTCGAGTCTTCGGATTATGTTCCACTGGCCGTTAACGGGCAAATTTGTGACACATGTTATTGAATCAAAGTATGATAGACATAAAAGTAATCATTCGTTAATTTTCATGAGCTTTCTCCAAGTAGCTAAACGCCGACGCTTCTGATAAGAAATAATATCATTTATTTGGAAAAGAATAAAGATTTGGAACCTAAATAGCAAGTGATACATAGAGATATTTGAAGGAGCTGAAGATGGAAGAAATCTGTTAAATCTATCATGCTCTCGATGAAATTCGAATCGGAGTCTGCTCATTACCCACAGAACGAAAGTTGACCTTTCTGCAGCCCACTAGTTTATGTTTAATTTCTTGCAAACTCATTTGAAAATTATTTTCACAAATTCTTATAACTGAAGTTTTGCCTTTAAATGCAACGATAAAGAAATAATATATATTTTCTTTACCTGAAATTTCTGATTACATTATGGTATTAAATTCGTTTTTGTATTTTAAACTGATGATATTGTAAGAAGCAATGTTTTTCACGTATTTTCATATCAATTTGTATTATTCTTTTAATATTACATAAGATTGGAAGCCTCAATTTCTATTAGAGAAAAAACCTTGTTTTAATACTACATACGAAAACATAATAATTTAATACGTTAAATAAATACAAATACAAATTTCAGTAAAAGAATGCGTTTAACTAAATTTATATCTTACATTTTTCAGTTATTCGCCCTCAAAGATACTTAGTTAAACGCAGGTTACTGTTTAAAACTAATTATTTATATTAAAATAATGAGTGCGTTTTGTGCATGAAGCAATTAGCAAACCCTATGATTAATGGAACAATTTTTTTAAATAAGTACTTCATAATCTGCTAATACTTAAAATTATGAACATATGTATCTCTTACAAAGTATTATAACTTAGTACAATTTTATTCATTACTATAATAATGATTATGATCAATCCTTAATTCGAATTTAAAATTTGAAGCTCGATTGTAGAAGTACATGAACAATTATTACGGAAAGATTCTGAAATAAGGATATATAACTGAAATGAGTATATGTGTAAATGTATATTGTTTAATAGAAATATTGTTAAGAAATTTAAAATATTTGAAATAATTATTTTTGTTAATTTCTTACCCTTCTTAAAAATCTTCTAAACCTGAAAACTCTTCCAAAAGCATCTTTTGAAAATTTTTAAGAAATGGAACTACTTTTGAAATACTTTTATAATGCGTAGATTGTTTTTTACCTATAGAGAAAAGAATTGTTTTAAAATAAGACTTTAACATTGTGCAATAAAATCACAGAATAAAAGTTAGATTTTTCAGTTAACTGTTACAAACACATGGTGTTCAACTTATTAGTAAAAAAAAATGGTGTCTAAATATTAACGGTTCAAGACTGTTAATTTCTTAATTTTTACATATTTTGTGCAACAAATACATTTATATTTATTTAAAAAATCAATTGATTAGAAATAACAACAAAAACATTCATATAGTCATCATTAAGGACTGGGCCTTGAAAATTGATTCTGTAAACCCGTTTTTGCTTCTATGTATGAAGTAAAAGAAATATCGTAATCGCGAAAAATTTCGGGTTTCATATTTCACAGGAAATATACATTTTGACCTTTCCCGAATCCATTTTGACTACTTCTTTGCGTGGCATTTATATACAGGGATAGAATAAAGGATTCGTTTTTTTCGCAAAACTGATTGTAAAATGGACTTTTTCGTGACGTCTGTACGTACGTAAAATGTGCATGTATGCAAGTATTTCGCATAACTCAAAAATGATTAGCAGTAGAAAGTTGAAATTTTGTATATGGAACTTCTATAATATCTAATTGTGCAACTCTCTTTTTTATTGCAATAGACGGTACCAAAAGTACGTATATATACATCGACCCCCCCCCTTACCGAGTTTTAAAATTCTTGCCCTGCTTTTATTTTCGCATTCTTTGATCGTAGTCATATACATATACAAACAATTACAGAAGTGTTTTAAATGACGAAAATATTCATGTTTTCCAATGTCAGATTTAAAAAAAAATTAACTTTTGATAAATAACGATATCTAACTTTAATCTTGTTTCCCTGTTCCTATACTTATATTTGGGAAAATTTTATGTCATGAAAAAATAAAATTTAGAAGATGCTTGACTCCCGTACAACAAAAGTTGACCGGGATATTTTACTTCAAACTTTGCGGTTTTTGATACCATCTTCAATTTGCCTGGAAAAATCGGTCAATTTAAATTAGAATAATTCGAAGAAATAAGTTTAAGTGAAGTGCAGCAAAAAATATGTATAATTTATTGGCCTGTATCAGGAAGTCATGTGTGGTCCACATCAGATTTTATTTTCTCTAGACGCTATTTAGAAATAAATTAAGAAGTATTCTCTCTTTACTGCCTATGAAAGGTTGACGCAGTTTCGAAATTATTGTGGAAGATATCATGTACTTATGAAGATGAATACTTTTATAAAAAAGAAAAAAATAGTTACAACAATTCTGTTCTGTACCGAAATAACGATTGTAATATTTTCTCTATATTCGCTAATCGTTTCATCAGTCTACACCGTTTCTATCAGAGAATACTTTGCATGCCACATGGGTTTGAACGACGTCATTTCGAGGTAGTTTTACAGTCAGTAGAAATCGAGAAGCCGACAGCATAGCAAACTAGTACAACAAACATCTTCTTCCGACTTCCATAGGGTAGGATCGTGAAGATCCCTCACCAAACGGCCACGAAGTTGTTGTCTGGTAACAGCAGTCGGTGTGGGCTGTTGCTGTTGTTGCCAAGTCGGACTGCTTGTGACAGGAGGTCGAGCAGGAACAGAGCGACTTCGTTTGCTTGAACCTAAATATATAAATACAGATTTATAATCACATAAAAAGGATTATTATTTATAATTACAGAATGCAGCAACATGAAAAGGAAGCTGGTTATACGAGACGATAGGTGCAGCTGCTATTGAACAGATATCATATGAACCCCTACTCTCTGAGTAAATGTACTGAAACTTTCGGAAATTCTAGAGTGCGAACTCCAATAAAAATGAGCAATAAAAATAAAGTCCGAACACTGAATAAAAAACACCGAATACATTACATAAAGAATATATAAGGTACATATAATAAGGTTTTATATATTATATAAGGAATATGTAACATATAAGGCCGAATACATTACATAAAGAAGATATCTCTGAATTATGATGTCTGATAAAAAAAAATTACGTTTACTTTTAAAAGCAAACGGAATTTTGTAGTGGGAAAAGTATAAACAGGGCATTTTGAATATAAACACCAAAGCATTTTTAAGCACCATAGCATTAATATTCAGTTTCCTAAATCCGATAATGGTTGAGAATAGCATAATCAAGGTCTTCGATTCAAATTTTGGTTCTTATTTTACTCTTCGCATCGTATGAATACAAATCAATTCCAAATGATTTCAAAAACATACGACATGAACAGTAAATATTATGGAGTACTTGATTGCAGTTATTTGCATTCCAGTTATAAATTCTAAAGTACTTGATTGCAATTATTTGCATTCCAGTTGTAAATTCTGAAGTAAGTCTGATATCAAATGAAAAACTAAGCATCAAATACACTGAATGAGAACTGGTGTTTCTTGAATTCGTTTTTCAAAATTCAATCGATGTCGCATATATTTCGCAATTCCTATGACTTTGCCTAGCATGAATTCAGTCTTTGCTCTTTATGTAAGATTACCACAATTTTGTTTTAATTTCGAAAGTTGTTATTCTTTGCGATCATTAATTAATTTCTTTTAGCTTTAAAAAAGTATATTGCATGCATTTACGCAAATGAACCATATTCACTAGGGACTTAAATAGCTTCAGAAGGGAATGCGGTCAAACTTTATTTATCTGTTAAGTATTTAATTTTAGTTTACGAATATAAACACAACTTCTATTGAAGTTTTGGTATTTATGGATCTTTTTTTAACTTTTTCTGGTCTAATTGATAAAATATATTAGTAAATATAATCTAAATTTAAATAAATGCATAATGTATTTCTTGAGTATGAGAAAGGAAAGGGAGGTTCTAGCAATGTCTAACAATATTTTAATCATTAAGTTCCTTTTAAGCAGGAGATGAGAAAAATGTGCGGTGTCCTCGCTGGGACTCGAACCATGGGCCTCATGAATGCGAGTAAAGCATTCGTCCAAATACAACATGAAGACATGCGAAAATGAGGGAGAAAATACCTTATATGGTTAACTCTTTCAAATCGCCCAAAACCCCCGACTATTCAGACATCGGCAGGTCTCTGAACGCCTGAATTACACTCATGTCCATAAATTCAGGATAATGCAAAATCAGGCATAGGAAGAGTTAGAAGCAAAACAAATTTGACTTATTTGTAAAGCTTATTTATTAAATAAAAGATAAAGAGCAAAAAAAGATGCTATATGTTTGATATTATTAAAAAAATTAGCGATTTTTTCTCCCTGGAGCAAATTACAAAAAAAACCTATTTACAAAAAAACAATATTACATGGTTCGTATGATTGTTAATACATTGTATGTCTCCCAGACGATGCAATACAGTCCGTACAACGCCTAGGCATGCTGAGTATCAAATTATTGATCTGGTATCTTGGGGTATATTACACCACTCAAAAAGCAATGCTCTCCGAACTTCCGGTAGACATGTAGGAGGAGGTTGACGGGCTACAAATCGTCGGCCAAGCATGTCCCACACGTGCTCTACTGGATTCAAGTCCGGTGAGAATACTGGCCAGTCCATACGGGTGATATCCTCCGATTGAAGGCATTCACTTACGATGTTTGCACGGTGAGGACGGGCGTTGTCATCCATAAACAGAAATTGTGCGCCCATGGCGCCCCGAAACAAACGTACATGTTGTTCCAGAATGACGTCCCGATAGATTTGGCTTATCATGGTTCCAATTTGAACATGCAGGTCAGCTCTGGAACCCAGAATAATTCCACCCCAAACGAGCACCCCTGCACCACCGTAACGGTGTCGTTCAATGATGTTTTCTTGGTGGTAACGGGTACCTGGAGCTCTCCATATGAAAGTCCGACGAGAATCAGACTGCAAGCTAAACCTGGACTCGTCGGAAAACATCACACAAGCCCACTGTTGCGGTGTCCACAATGCATGCTCTCTACTCCAGGCTAACCACAGGCGACAGTGAGTTGCAGTAAGTGGAACGCATGACAGGTCTACGAGCATATAGACCAATCTGCCCTAAGCGTCTGTACACGGTCTGCCTTGAAATTGTCGTACCAGTGGCTGAAGAGAGCTGACGAGACAGGTCTGAGGCTGTGCTCCGCCTGTTTCTTTTGGCAGTAACTGCCAAAAACCGGTCCTCATTTGGCGTTGTAACTCTGGGGCGACCTGTGCTGTAACGTCTACTCACATTACCATCATTTTGGAATCGTTGCCAAAGCCTGGAGATGACACTCTGGGCAATTCCAAGTTCTTCTGATACTTCCAGTTGGGTACGCCCACATTCCAGACGGCCGATAATTCTACCACGTAAAAAAATCATCCAAATGCATCCTTTGTGTCATAACTACTCGGTTATTTCACTGAAATGCTTATAAAGCGCCTGCGAACAATTTTACTTCTTTGCCTGTATTCGTTATATATCACTCTCGTCATTGTGACGTACTATCGGTGTCATCTGGTTACTTCCTAAAATTTGCATATGATTCTTGAAGATGTGTGTAGTGATTTTACAGGTGATATACTTATTTTAGAGTTCGATTTCCGCGTGACTCCGAATTATCCTTAATTTATGGACATGAGTGTATTTTCTACCTGGTGCTTTCCCCCCATCATGTTAATGCATGCCTCATTGCTTTTAGGTATCATTCATTTGAAGCGACTAAAAGTAGTTCTGTTATTTGAATGCACCTTCCTTCTCCTTTGTTTAGCGCCAGTGTTTAGCTATTGATGTCCGAAGTTGAAATCCTGTCCCGGGAACACGGCACACAGTGGTAAAAGCGCGTGAAAATACTAAGAGAGAACTTTTTGCTTTATTTAAGTAGATTATTCGACCTTGGCGCGGGGGATGGGAATCCATCATAACAAAAATACATATATAGGTGTTTTTCAGAAACTTTGGTCTCTACAGATGCGAAAGTGATAAAGGAGTGCATGGGGCGAAAACGTTTGAGAACCATTGGTCTGGACCTTAGCTCCGGGTTGCTATTTTAAGACTGAAGCATGTTAGACAATTGTCGCCTAATTTCGTCGAAAGTCGTCATTGATGCCCTATTAAGAAACTCGGATGTCTTGAATAATATCGCTATAGACTAAGAAATGAATATAAAATGAAACAATAATGCACTGCGTTGCGAACAAAGAACTTTCCAAAAGCCCTCCCCGTCCCCCCCAAAAAAAAACGGGGAAAGGAAAATCAAAACAATACTCATTGCTATCTACGATAGCAAAAGAAACATGAATGAATAATTTATTCATATACACTAAATAAAAAAACTCAATGCATTTTACTAAGAGGTTTTAAAGCATTTGTTGTCAGAAAATACTTTGCGTGAGGCCAGAACATCGAGAAATATCTGCCTATTTTTTTTTCTTCGTAATAATGCTCTTTTGCATGAGGCTGAGATCAATGTACAGCCGGTCAAAGAAAACAAAATATTCTGTTGAACCCTTCTAATGCTTTGGCTCAAAGTGATGATTTTCGTTTTCCTCAAATTAAAGGATACTACTTTTATGACATACTCACAACCAGAAACTGTGGCTGGAATTTTTAACTGCAATCGTTTAAATTCTTTCCAGCAAGTATACATTTTACGATAGGTTAAAATCTAGATTCCAGCGAATGTTGCTTTGAATAATAAATGTCAGTAGATCATCACCTCCACTTAGCGCAGTCTAATTTCGAATTGTCACAGCCTATACTTAATACAGATGCGTAAAATTCAAGCGATTTATACGGAATAGAATCCATGGACATGAAACGAGTCTGTCTGCTGGTAACTGATAACGCGTTGCAATACGTTTTTGATAACTTGAAGTAGTAATTATCTCACCAGCAATATTACTGATTTCATCAATAATTCTTCAAGCGAATGTGAATTATCAGTAAAATCTGTTACCTTAAAGTAATCCAATAAAACGAAGTGCTAGATTGTCACGCTCTGGAATACTGTTTGGAAATTTTACTCAAAAGAAACATATTTATAAAAGTTAGATTTTTATCTTTACAGGAACCATCCCTATACACAACTCCAATATTTTTATTAAACCCTAATTTGAGAAACGCTGCAACTCTACGAATATGCTTAGTAACACTATTTAAGAATATATAAAACCGGTATCTACTTTTTTCAAATACTCTGAACGCTGAAATTTTATCTTTCAGAAACTGATTCTGCAGAAAACAGTGCCTGAAACGTTTTAAGCGCAAATTTAAAATAATTATATAAAGTACTAGCGACCCGCTCCGGCTTCGCACGGGTATAAAACATATAGCCTATGTCACTCACTGAAAAAAATGATTAAAATCGATCCAGTAGTTTTGATTTATTCATTACTGTCCGTGGTCTGCACGCGTTAAATTTGGAGTAAAACAATTCCCCTTTCCCTATACCATGAAGGTTTCCTGCTATCTTTGGAATATCTAAATTCAAACACTACATTTTTACTTATTTACTTTTTACATTTTTACATATTTATTTTATTTTTACAACAATTAATATATTGCAGAATAATAACAGGCGAAGAAAGATCGTTAGAATAGAATGAAAGAGACTAAATTAAAAATAACTATGAAACCTTCTGCTCAAGCGTGCTAAAGTCTTCTGATGGACATATTTTTGCAAAGTTTCTCCCCCCAAACGTTACTGCGCTAATCCAACCCATGGACTAAGGAGTCATTGCAACAATCAAGAGAACAAACCTAACCAAGCTGCTAATGACCAAAATTGAAGTAGGTTATGATCTGAAAGAGTTTTGGAAACACTACACAATCTTGGACAGCATCTAAGATATTGCATCTGCACGGGACTCAGTGAAACCGTCAACCCTCATAAAATCATGGAGAAAACTCAGGCCTAATGTTGAAGCCAACAACAACCTAACCCCTTTGAGATGTGAAGAAGTAAATTGTTATTTTCCTCGCTAGAGAGCTCCGATAATAAACGCGTCCGATCGCTGCTAAATTCAAAGTGCTATAGGGAGAACCGCGGCCTCCGACGCGCTATTTATAGGCACGCTCCCGCCGCCCCGGCCGGCCGGTACCGCCGCAAACGCTACGTCCCGCAATTTTTAAATCTGTAGACCTTTTCAATGTGTACAATACTTAGTACATTATTTTGATAAATCTCGTAGGGTTCAGCCTGCGTTTGCAATGTTAGCGGGAAAAAATGTAGTTATTTACGACATTAATTTTATAAATATCTGAACATTAGAAACCTCAAAAATAACAGTATTTCTCCACTATTTAATGGATGTTATTATACATATAAACCTTCCTTTTCAATCACTCTATCTATTAAAAAAACCGCATCAAAATCCGTTGCGTAGATTTAAGCATACATAGGGATATAGGGACAGAGAAAGCGACTTATACTATGTAGCCTACATAGTTTTATACTATGTAGTGATATAATCCTTCTTTGTAATCATGAACATTCTCATTTTAAATTTATAAAAGGGGTTAGTTGGAATTACTAGTAGAAATGCTCTTTCAAAAGCAATATTAAAACTCAATATTCCTATAAACTTAGATTTGAAGTTAAATATTATTAATTGCTTGTTAAGGAAATGAGAACTTGTTTTTCTCTTTAACAAAAGTGTTTTAACGAAAAGCAAAATATGAATTATTGCATTTAATAATTGCTCCTCGCTTTGCACTAAGAGAAAAAATATAACTGTTTAACCTCTCTACTTTAAGAAGAATTTTATATTAATATATAAACTATGCATTTTTACTTAAATTTTGAAGCAGATAATCACGCAACATAAACAGTCATAACAACATGTGAAAGAAATTGGCAAAGAGAAAATTAAATTAAAAGCAATTAACTCCTTTTATAAAAAAATATATAATTAGTGTAATTAATGGGGCTTACTTTAGCTTTCTTCACTAATGCAAGCAAGTAAAAAAAACGTTGTGTTGGCTTTGTTTTTTATATGAGTAATATTACCACATCTGCTTTTCATGTTATATCTCTGCAACTGTCTACTTATACTCTCTCACAATAATTTCGTTATCAGTTGGGAATAATAAACAAAAATTGCATTTATTTGATTTATTGGCTTTCCAAAAACATTTTCAAATAACAAATATTATGATTGAATTCACGTAACTTCTGTCATATACGATACTTTGACAGTTTTCATACAAACATAAAGAAATTTATTTCTTTGGTACAGACGAACAACTTCAATTTTCAAATTCAATTTAATTTTATAAATATCTGAACAGTCATGTAGCTTCACCGTTTTCAAAAGAGCCAAAACAGAAAAGAATCTGCACAAGCTTCTAAGTAATGTAATGTTATCCCGAATAAATGAACTATTGTGAATTTTTTATTTAAAGACTAACATATATTATTGCTACTTAAATTCATAAAAATGTTAATTTTATTCATCTGTTTCAAGAAATACCGCACTTAAAAATCTTCTTTCATCACATATTTAAATAATGCTTTCTTACATAACACCTCAAAAATTATTTGTCAAACTCTACCTAGTTCTGCTCGTTTATGCTTTTTATAGCCTAAGTAAATAAACCAAAACTCTCTAACTGCATTTAAATAGACCAAAACTGCCTAACACCTTATTTATGTACGTTTTTTAAATATATTCTAAACGGTTTTATCGTAAAGTGTGCCCTAGATACCTTTTTCTCGTTGTAGAACATATTCTTCTAACTTATTAGAATTTTCCCTAGCTTAAAACAGATAATTTATTTTTTCATTGCATTGAAATTTGCATCAAAATAATCCATTCATCTAGAAAACTGTTCAACAATCACAAAACTTAGCTTGCAAAATTCAAATTATAAAATATGTAGAGCAACTGAACTCACAGCTATAGAGTAAGACAACACATATCCAAAGTCACATAAAATTCATATTACTTTATCCAAGATACCATTCAGGACTCCTTATGTGGTAACGCTGCTTGCATTAGTAATTCTTAATTCACAGACTCCTTATTTCAGTATTATTAACTAAGAGAGTAAACATCGACATAAAGAAGGTAGTTGGTCATATCTGTAAACTAATCGTAGTGTATCTATCGTATCGATAACACGGTCAGATAATGACATTTCGAGTTTTTCAGCAGAGCTGTTAGGTTTCATGAAGGTGGTAACAGCCCTTGAGAGACAATTTTTAAGAAACCTTGAGATATCGACATCCATGGTATTTTCAATTTGGAAATACTTATTCGCGTTTTCTGGATATAATTGTCCGGGACATACGATTGCAACAAAACTGACAGAGGCAAAAGTACTACGATGATTGCAACAATTTCTGAGCATCGATAGCGTTATTTAATAGGTGTCGCGACCACAAAACGATGAATTTATCAGACTAGAACAGTATCAAGTTCAGCTATGAGTCTCTGTTTTCCTTGGCCGGAATGGCAAAAAATTTCATGCAAAACCGTTACCACCTATCCATCACATTACGCATTACCTTTTGGGCAGTCATTCTTTATGATGCAATATACAGTGATAGTAACACTTAACGGACCGATGTCCTGTAATCGTTGCGTTACCAGTATTGCTCAATCAAGACCGGGTTTCGCAAGATGAAAATGCCTCTCCCCACACCATAGAAATATCCAAGAATTATCTGAGTACTATTTTGTAAGTCCTAACAGATCTCCAAATGTTCCTCCACTCGAAAATATACGCGACCTGTTGAGAGGTCATATACAACAATCTCGCTACATAAATGAACTCACCGAACAGCTTCGTAATACCTGGTTGACAATTTGCAAAAGCATTAGTTTATGTGAATGCATGTCTTGACTGCCGTATCAGTAGTCCTCTCGAGAGACAGGGGTTAAGGAAGAGGGATGGGACAGACCCGTGGACCCTCCCCCCCCATCCCGAGCTGGGTGTCCTTCCTGAAATTTGGAGCGGAATATCACAGTTAGTGGCGTAGGATTATACCTGTAAGACCACTGGTAAACTTCTGCGGTTTTGCACACTTTTACTTTACCTGTGAGTGTATGTTAGACCTTTACAACCTTTTGGCATACTGCCTGTTTAGTCAAACTTGTGTGCAAAGATTCTTAGCCTATTTTTGCACTCTCCCAACGTAAAAAAGTAATGCTGCTGGTTATCTATTTTAATATTTTCTTCACATGTGCAATCACAGCTACACACATCTGAAGAGTTAATTTTACTATTGATATCATTTTAACAAATTGATCAACCGTGTTCCTTATGTGATAAAGCTTCTCTCAATCGACTGCGATCTGTATTTCGTATCTTTGATACTAATATGAATAGTTTATTTCTAAACATTTTAATCTAAATTATGGACTAATGAATCAATTAACACACAATTACTTTATGCTGTTGTTAATTTTAACATAATATAAGTATGAAAATCAACTACAAAGTATTTGACTGAATCTTGTGATGAACAAAGCTTCTTCTCCTTTTTATTTGTTTCCTCTGAAATGGAATCTCACGAACTGAGCTTAATAAACATCAGACAGCCTGAAATGGAATCTCACGAGCTGAGCTTAATAAACATCAGAAATCCTGAAATGGAATCTCACGAACTGAGCTTAATAAGAATCAGAAAACATCGTTACTTTGGAAGTTAGGTACCAGAGTTTGTCTTCCTTTATGCAATTACTTATTATTAAACGAGAATAAATCAGCTTTCACTTGCAGCTGTATTTAAACTGGTTTATTAAATATTAAAAATACAGATCCTCATAATTAAGAACTAGATGATAATGTTTCACATTAAAATTCACGAAAATAAGTGAGAATTCCACTTTTTAATGACAGATTTAAGATTTAGAGCTTGACCTTAAATATGCCTTAAAGATACATGAATATTCCTATAACTGCTAATGTGTGCTTATTTTAAAGTATTTGCATGCAGCAAAAGCTGTTTTCTCATCAGTTTATAGGAATAATTCAGGAATATAAATTTCCATATATAGTGTTACTTACCCTGAGATTTTTTCCGAGTTCCTTTCCGTCCTCTAGATTCCTTTTTAGCACCAACTTCACTGCCAGATTCCTGGCTCGAGGAAGACAGAGGTGTTCCTTCACTATCTCGAGGCATACTCTCGTAGCCACTGCTGGTTCCAGAAAACTGGGGGGTCTTTGACAATTTACCCAAAAGCTCTTTTGTCTCTTTGATATCTGCACTAATGACGCTGCTATCACTTCCATGGCCACTACTGGACTGTCTAGCTGCCCACTTTGCTTCTTTCTTTGATAACATATTTGTTGTTGTTACCGTTGTGACGGTAGGCGTTGGTGCTGAAAGATAGGAATAGGATTCGGCGCTCAGTACAGCGTCTGTTCTTGGCGGAGAGACATTATTTCCAAATGGACTAGCAGGAGTTGATGTACTGCGGATAAGGATGTGTGACTTTTGTGAGTGGACTTGCACTGGCGCTTCTGTTAGTATGTGAGATGTACTGACATGTGCAGGTGTGCCAGATATGCTGGGACTTATACAAACAGCAGTTTCTGAACTATTTGCAGCCGAAGTGTAAGGGCACTGGACATGCGGCTTGCTTTGTTTATTCTGACTATTCCGGTATGCCCCAAGAATACCTCGAGGTGATAGCTTTGGACTTCCTTTTTTTCTTTGATGTTGTTTGACTAACATGAAATCATGCCTCTGTTCAGGAGATTCTGTTGGTTTTCCGATGTAGTGACTTTGTTGTTCTGTTACCCGGATGGATTTTCCAACAGAATGCTCGGTGATTATTCTAGATTTTGTAGTTCGTTGAGCAGAATATTTTGTGGTATGAAATGGCACTGGACTTGAAGAAGGTCCTTCACTGTATACACGACACCTTTGTTCTTGAATCACTTCCGTTAAAGATTGATGTACTTTCTCTGTGGAACCGGAGCATAAAGGTAATTTTGTTTGACCCGTTTCTGATGAATTTGCGGCGCTTTCAACTTGAGACACATTTTCACTAGAACCATGCACTCGCGGAACTTCTGATATGTCCTCCCGCGATTGTTCCCTACTCTTGTCTTTACTAATACCACTAAATCTCCCAAGAGAGGTGCTCCACCTATGTTTTGACTTCGGAGAGCTCTCACAATTATCGTTCTCTTTAACTTGATGGTTTAAAGACTTGTTAGGTTCTATATCTTCTAAGGGAACTTTAATATATTTGGTTTTATGCTTGATGATGGGAGGCACAACTTGTGTTGGTTTCCCAAACTGGGAAAAACAGTCTGGAAAAAGAGGAACTTTTTGTATTTTATTATAAAAGGCTTCTAGACGAAGTCCGTTCATTGGTTTAACATTAAACTGAAATTCAAAATTTTCAATGTCTAACTCAGCTGGTTCACTGCGAATACTATTAACATCATTTTCCCTAAGTTCTTCTAAGCTCGAATCGGCACTGTGGTGCAATTTACTAACGAAAGGAAAACGGTTGTCTGAGCTACAAAGGTTGCTAAAAGTGTCTGGAAAGTGTGATGCTTTCCATCTTTCTTGGTGACCGGAATTCTTTTCGATTATCTGACGAAGATTCGCAAGCCTTTCGAGCTTAGAAGCTAACATATTATTCTTTTCTGTTAAATCTTCATTCGAATTTAAATTTCGTGAATGACTTGTTCGAGCACCGTGATGGGGTAGTGAACCTCCCCTTAGCAAACGCCAAGTTAGATCAGGATCTAAATCATGACTGTCTGCTGTCCAACCTTCTGGAACACTAAGAGTATCGAAGTCTACACTGACTGCTCTAGAATCTGTAAATGAAGATGCTAAATTTAAATCCTCTGCACTTAAAACATGTAAAGGATGTTCTATGCCTTCATAACTATCTGTATCACTGAAATGATGATTATCGATAACTCCTTGTGGCCATCCGCAACTAGTAAATATATCTTCTTCAGTAACCTGAACACAGGAATCGGCCATTGTAATTAGGTCACTTTGGCCGTTGTTATCCGTAAGCAATAAGCAACCATCTTTATCTTCAAGAGGCATGTTGCTGTTAGAAAGGCAACAGTTAGTTTCAGAATTGGATACGAAATTAAGATCTTCACTATTGTTATCATTAAAATCAACTGATCCTGAGGAAGACTGTGAACTATATCGGTCAGAGTTACCCATAAGTTCACTTAAATTACCGTTGATAGAATTTTCCAAATCTGAAACAATTTGAGAATTGAGTTTCGGCTTTGAAACTTCAACTTCTTTGATTTCCTTGGATATATTTCCATTTTTATGGAAATCTGTATCCAAATGTTGCCGTTGAGATTCCTTCAGCACACTCGATGATACCTTAGCATAGAGATTTTTATCGCTTTCTAAACTAGATTCACGGTGCAAACGATCAACAGATTTCCCCCTAGAATCCGTTTTAATTTTCTCTGTTAATGAGGTACTATGCTTATCAGAATTTTCATTAGGTGCTGCCGTATGTTTCCCACTAGCATGAAGTACAGTTTTATCTTCCGTTTCAGGAGGAAAATCTATCCATACTTCTTTTCTATTTCCCATTTCGGACTCAGGAATGATTCTTGAATGGTCTTCGACCCACTTTCTAATCATAGTTTCTTTTTGCACATCCATATAGCCATACATTCCTGGTCCATCTACCCATTTTTCTTTTTGCAACTGGTGCAACGTCCTTGAATCAAACTTAGGCTTTGTAAACCTAGGACCATCTATCCAAGTTTCATCACTTGTTGGTTTGGGTTCCTTTACCAAAACTTTTAGCATTTCCGATTGTTGTTGCTGAAAATATAGCTGCTGTTGAGAAACATCCTGTTTGTGAGAACGCTTGGATTTGCGCTGGGACTGTGGACTTCCTGTCAGAGTGCTTGCAGAAACAAAACCAGACTTCTGGTGTGGATCAACAGAACTTGGCTTGCGTGACGGAGAACTTTTGCTCACGGATTCTGATGATCCTTTAAACTTTTTACCATCACTAGAATAATCCAGCATGACATATTTACTTAATTTGGGAGACATTTTTGCAGAATCAGTTTCCCCTACTTTTTGGTGTTTTGGAGAAGAATATGGAGATGAGCTTATGGATTTTTTCTTTGGGGAAGCAATCCCTGCTCCACTACTGGGCACTCGAAAATGTTCATTTAAGGCACTTTTTGACACATAATCTGAAGATTTTTGTTCTTTGCATGCCGGTGGGGTGTTGGTGGTTCCACTACTAGAAGAGGACTTTTCTGTATGATGGCTAGGTACATGTGGCTTAGAAGTCTGCTTCCTGGAAGTTCCACCCACCCCACCAGTTGATGTACTCTGAGTTTCCTTCGCGAGGGGAGATATAGGTTGGCTGTTATGTCTATCACAGATGTTTCCCGGTAGAGTAGCACCCCGACCAGAACCGACGAAAATCACAGTGTCGCATGATTGTTCACTGCTGGATGTGTAGTCTTGATCACTGCTACCTGACTTGACAGCACCATCTTCTCCAACAGCATGAATTCGAACAAAGGGTCTACAGACACCTTTATCATCACCTATAGGTCCCAGCTCAGCAGCTGGTGCAAACTGAAATAAAAAACGCCATATTTAATACCATGTGATTTTATAAAACAAATAAATATTTGGAAACAATTTTAATAAAATGAAAGGAATAATATGTGGTGATATAGAGATTTTATTCATTTACCTTAAAATCCTCAGATCTTATAGCCACGTAAATGAGGCAAAATTAATAACACGTTGCTGCAACTAACAGAAGTAATTCTAGATAAATTATTTTTGCTGAATGAAACTAGATTTTTTTGTCACAATCATTAGAAATAAGTTAACAAGAAATTTTCCAATTAAATAAAAATTGTAAATTATATGTCTTGTTTAGAACAAAATGATGAATTAAAAAATTGCAGTAAAATACGTTCAGAATATGAATATTAAATTATCAAATATGCTAAAGAAATCCCAATCAGAACCTTAAACTGATGTTCAGTTATTTCCTCATTAACCAGCGTAATACTAGAGGCGACGTTAGTTCAAAAATACGGTTTACACGAAGCCATCTAAAAAACGTATGAAAGAAGAATAACCTATATTAAATTAAAAGAAAAACACAATTTTCAATTTATTTGCATTTTTAATCTGTAGAAATTTATTTCGTTACGCAGTTTAAATAAATACTTTAATAAGTTTTTTCTTCAGTATACACGCAATCGCTTCTAGTCTTTCTTTATGTCTCTGTCTGTGTTTCCTCCTCACTTCATGGGGTACAAGGGTCTGCTGTGGTTTGCATTATACTTTTATTTCAGTAGGAGTCAATGTGACACGGAATATTAATTAGTTGCATACTCATTGTTCCTAAGATTGAGAAATTTTCTTTTAAATTAATGATTTGAAAATATTTTTATATTCCAAGTTACCTATAATAAATCAATGTTGTTGAGGATTAAAAATACTTTTAACTACTATTCTATGATAAATGAATACTGTTGAGGATAAAAAATATTTCTAACTGCTCTAGGAAATTGCCATGCAACTGTGACTGTAACTCAGATAATGCTAAAGCGCCATCTAGATGAGTGCACAGACGTAAAATCCGTTTTCTAAGTTGCGTCTGTTTATGGACTTGATATTAATGTTATGAAACCAAAATTTTTAAATCGTAGAATTAATTGAATTCCTTGGCCATGTCATTGAAAATGCTAAACTGTTCCCGTATCCTCTTAAAATAGTTATTGTGAACCTAAAGGTTACAAAAACTTGGTCTTCCTGGATATTTTCGTAAATTTATTCTAAATGTTTCCATAACTGGTCAACCATCAACTGATCTCCTTAAGAAAAGTAATGACTTTCACTTTGGTGGCAATGAAAGAAAATCTTTCAATCTTTGAAACAGCATCTGTATGAAAAACCCATACTTAGCATCTACTGATGCCAGTATCGATAGTTATGGTTGTATGCTCAAGCGAAGAGCTATGATTCATAATTGCTTACGTCCTATTTATTGTATGAGCAAAAATATATCTGATGCGGAAAAGAAATTTATCAGTTAAGAACTTGAAGTATTAGTTGTAATTCAAGCTTTGAAATAATTTAGAATTTACTTTTTAGGCAAACTCTTCAAATTTATTACTAACTGTAATGCCTTTAAAATGACAATGAACAAGAAAGACTTGAATGCACGAATAGCACGTTAAGCTTTGATGTTAGAAGATTTCGACTACTAAATAGAACACCGAACGGGAACATGAATGATACATGCTGACGCATTGACCAGACCCCCGTTATGGCCATCACTCAAGATAGCCTCGTTTTAAAAATACGAAATGCTCAAGAGCAAGATGATCATAATCGAACTATCAAAGAAGTCTTGAAAGTTAAGCCTTATGATGACTGTTACGTTAAGCCGGTATATTTTATAAATTTGTTTACGGAAGCAAATTACTTGTTGTTCCAGAATCAATGAAAAGTAATAAAACTAAGCATCTTCGTGGACATTTCTCTTCTAAACAAATTGAAGAAAACTCATCAAACAAGAATCTTATATACATAAACTTAAATTAAAATTGTTATCTATAATTCAAGTTGTGTTCCTTGCATATTAATTATTCGCAAATTTGGAAAACCAGATGGTATGTTGCATTCTAGTATGCCCAAACAAGATATACCACTTCATACATATCACACTGATCATTAGGGACAAACGAAAGTACTCATAAAAATACAAGTATGTATTTGCTATTATTGAATCTTTCACAAAGTTTATATGGCTTTATCCAACAAAATATACTGATAGCGCCGAAGTAATATCTAAATTGGAAAATCAAAAATTTGTCTTTGGAAATCCTTCGCGTATGATTTCCCATAAAGGTTCAGCATATACTTCTAAAGATTTTCAAGATTATTATTCAGCCAACAATATCCAGCATATTCAAATTACTACCGGACTGCCTCATTCCAATGGACAAATTGAAAGACTGAATTCTGTCATAATGTCTGCTCTCTCCAAATTATTGATTTTAGTGCGTGCATAGCGGATATCAAGATTTAATTTTGTGCCCCGCTAATAAAACTGATGTTTTTACAAGAATATCATGCATAAAAACAAATAATTATTCATTTTAAAATTTTTCTGCACGGTAAAAGTAATTTATTTTAGTCTTAAATTTCTGAAACTTTGTTTATCTGTTAGATCAGATTCTGAAAAATTAAACATTTTAAATATAGCATTTTCTTCATATTTCATTACATAAAGTTAAAATGTTAATTTAAATTACAGATATATTTTACTGAAAAATTTTCCTTATGGATTACTTTTCTTTTGTTAAAACTTCGTTATAGCAAGATTTTTAACGTTATTAGTTTTGTAAACAGTCAAGTACACCTATTTAACCTCAGATAATTTTACTCTTCTCGTCAAGTTAACGACACCAGATAAATACACAAATTTTTGAAACAAAGAATTTTATTGAAACCACTCTTGAGGTACGAAACAAAATTCACCAGACAGATGCAGTATAATGCACAGGTATACCAAATATTTAATTTAAAATTACACATATTTAAAGCCTACAAAGAAGAAAGCTATCGAGCTTTGTTTGTCAATATATAGATTTCAAATAGAAATAACCCTATGATCATTCTAAATTCAAATCTCTGAACCAAAAGATATTCGATTTTTGACATTTGATTAAGGACAATTAAATTTTGGATATATTTAGTGATTGTATACGGGATGTAATCTAATTTTTCAAAAAACACAAATTAAATCTAACATAGTGCCTTACAATAATCCTGAAATATCTAAGATTCTCATGCGAATTACTTCTCAGTTTGTTGATTCATTTAATAAAGTTATGCATATTAGGGCTATTTACCAAAACCGGATGCCTTCTTGAATGACTTTCTAACGGAAATTAATTCCCATCCACGTCACATATCGAGAAAACCCCTGAAACTTGCATACAGCCAGCCCGTTTCCCAGGATTTGAACTCGGATCGAGCTACCAGTAGTTAGAGATCGTATCTATTCCTGCGTTGATGGAGCAACTATTTTTTAAAACGCTTAAAATATCCATTAAGAATCTTAATAAAAATTTTCCGTATTTAAATATTAGATTATGTCATTCTTGTCGCTATAAAAGGGAAGGATTTCGTAAAATTTATATATACATAACATTATTATTTCTTACATACTTTCAGGAATACACAGTTTTACCACATTGTTTTCCACATTGATAAAAAATTAGTTTCTGAATAAAACGAATCACATGAACGTTCTGATTTCCCATCTGTTTCTGTTGTCTAGCTTCATCTTAATGCAGATTGTTTATAAATGAATGGTTTGGATTTAAAAATTAATACCAAATCAATGCATTACCTTCTCCGCGGTAAAAAATGCACCATAAGCATTTACAACTCTCCACTCTCCAAAGGCATCGTTACTATGCAGCCACAGTTCCAATTTCCAAGATAGCGTCGCAACAGGAAAAGGTTTTCTGTGTGCTTTGTTTTGAGGCCTCCAGATCTGTGTTTAAAGTGCAGCATTAGTTTCGTGCTTCGTTTAATAAAGACCCACTACACAAGAATAACATAAGTAAGTGGTACCGACAGTTCGTGAAAACTGGATGGCTTTGTAAAGGCAAGAATTCTAGTCCACGTCGTGTGTCTAGTGCAAACGTTGAAAGAGTGCGCGCGATGTTTCCGCGAAGTCCTCGCAAGTCACTTATTAAAGCAAGCAGGAAATTGGACATGCTAAAGAGAACGGTGTAAAAGGGTGTTGAGCAAGCGGCTATGTTTTAAACCGTACAAAGGGATTAGTGCAGGCCCTTACACCAGCAAACAAAGTGAAAGGACGTGTCATTTCTGAAGAAATGCAGTTTAAAATGGAGCAAGTTGGTTTTGTAGAAAGACGTATCTTCTGCGATGAAGCCATTTTCCATGTAAGTGGCAAGGTGAACAAACACAATGTCCGTATCTGAGGAACCAAAAAACCCCATACACAGGATACAGCATCAGCATGAATCTCCAAAAGTGAATGTTTTCTGTGCGGTGTCCCGCCAGAAAATGTCCGGCACACTTTCTTGGAACAAAAAATTCTGACCAATGACTCAATTCTAGACATGTGTGATACGTGGTGGTTACCCCAGCTGAATACCAATTATGATGATTACATTTTGCAACTAGACGGTGCTCCGCCCTAGTTTCACAAGAATTTACAACAGCTACTTAATTGTGTTTTTTACCAACGCTGGACTGGATATGCTGCAAAAGTGGATAACAACATTCTTGCCTGGCCACTCCGTTCCCTGGATTTAACTCCATGCGAGTTCTTTGTTAAAGACCGAGGAAGCTTGTGGTCGGGTAAAGCACGCACTGCAGACTGTCACGGCGGACACGCTACACCGAGTATGGCAAGAATTTGATTACGGTGTAGATGTGTGTCTTGTGACCAAGGGTACACTTATTGAGGGATTGTGAATAATGCATCAAAAACTTGGACAGTTTCCGCTGTGTATGCTGTAAGGTTTGCCCATATAAAGTGATGCAACGATTTTATTATTAATTTTTAAAACTGCACCATTCATTTATAAACATACATTTTTTCATTTATAAACATACCTTTATTCATTTATAAACATACCTTTATTCATTTATAAACATCCATTTATTCATTTATAAAAGAATGTAATATTAAATGTTGTGAGAATTATGAGAATGTGTCACAGACACGAAACTCTCAAATATGGTTAAAGAAACATCCCTGATTAACTTGCCTGTTGGAAAATTACCACTGATCTTCGATCTGTGAAATTTTACAATACCTATGAATAAAAAATGCATGCTTTTTACCCAGGAAATTCTGAAATAGTCATGAAAAGAAAGACTTTATAAGGATTATATAAGTAATAGGGAATTGTCTCCGTTAAGGCTTCGCTACTGTCCATTTCTCATAGTTATTATTACAGCAGTTACGTCAACTGAACTAATGTAATTAAAAAATAATTACCTTTAACTTCTTTCTACGTAGCCTATGTATCCTTGACGCTAGTTGCAATGTTGCCAGAGTTTCAGGATAGCGTGAAGGCATAGTTGACACATGTGCGATCATGGCTGCTCGGCACATTATGCTTCCCATGGCTTCTCGAAGCAGTTGCGTTAGTTTGCTATCTCTGTAAAAGATAGGAAGTTAAAAGTAAAGTAATAAGAGGTAATTCTTCTTACTGCTACGCATAAGCCAAAAATATTATTAAATTTTTAAATACGCAATTCAAACACTCTTATAAATAACTGTTCGGAACAGTTCCGACAGACCAGCCACTTAGAAAATGACGTGATTTTCAGGTAATTTTGGAGTTTAAGGTTACATGAGTTATGAACGAATTAACATTTGTTTATTGAATCGCTCTGAAAATAAATTAGATGCATTTTCAGTAATGTATTTTTGCATCTTTTGCAATCAAGCCTCCTTTTAAAAGCAACTAAGGAGTAGCAATGTTATGTAATGTAAGAGTAGCTACGTATGTAGGGGAGTAGCTATGCAATTTATGGAGACAAGTTATACACTGAAGAGCCAAAATATTACGAACACCTACACAGTACTACTTAACATTACTCGACCTTGGTCCTGCAACATAGCTGCAACTCGCCTTGGCATGGATGCCACAATTTTTTGGTCGATGACTGGAGACAGGTTGCACCAAATGTCTGAGCAGCGGTCACGCAATGTCGGCATATTCCGACACGGTGGTGTTTGAGCTCTGAGCTGCCGTTCCATGACATCTCAGATGTGCTCAATATCCGGTTACGATCCAGCGAGTTAGGTGGTCAGGACATTAACTGGAATTCATCCTTATGTTTCTCGAACCACTCCAACACAATTCGAGTCTTGTAACAAGGAGCTTTCTCCTGTTGGAAGATTTCATTTCAAGTTGGGAAAACAGATGCTATGTAAAAGTGCAACTGATCCGCAGTTATTACATTCAGATAGTCCGCAGCTTTTATGGTCTCTTCTACCACAACTAAGTATCTTACAAATGCCCATGAGATTTTCCCCCAAAGTATAATATCGCCACCACCAGCCTGTGTAGCAACAGTTCGCCTGGAAGACGGCGCACCCTGACACGACCATCGACGTGATGAATGAGAAACCGTGATTCATCCGACCAGTCAATTGTCTCCCCCTTATCCACGGTCCAGTCTCCAAGTTCTTGGGCCCACTGTAGGCGTAGCTGACAATGACGCTTGGTCAACAAAGGCACACGAGTGGGACGTCTGCTGCGCAGTCCCATATCCAAAAGTGTCCACTGAACTGTGTGTTCCGAACCGGTTGCACCTGCCTTGTGTTGGGCTGTCAGCTAAGCCATTGTCTGGCTCCGATTTTGCTGTACCAAGCGGAACAGTCTCTGAAGTCAATTTTCATTGATGACGAGTGGACGTCCAACACCTTGGCGTCTATTGCTGATTTGCCGTCATTATTTATCCACTTTCCATAAATATCGACACCGGCGGATCGTGAACAACCTAACAGTCGTGCAGTTTCGAAGGCACTCGTTCCGAGGCTTCGAGTCATTACAATCTACTCACCATCAAACTGGATTAGATCAGCAGCCTTTCCCATCACTCGCAAAAGTAAGTGCAAGAATGATTCCTTATCTTCTCCAACAGCAGTTAAATACCATGTATGTAATGTAATGTAAAAACAGTGCAATTTTTGCTTAGGAGATAACACGAAGTCTCTTCAATGATAAACAGCCAAATCTTCCACACAGACCCTTAAATTCATATAACAGAGTTATTATATAGAAAAGCACGTATTTGAAATTATTCATTAATATAATTTTTATTAAAGATTTTAAAATTTGTCACTTTCGAACTGTCGAAACCTTTGTACTGATTCCTTACTTCGTTTCTAGCTACTTAATTTTCTATAAAATTATAAACATTAAAAAAGAAGCCTGTTTTATAAACTACATTTCATTTAGAAAATACATGGGGTCCGAAACGCTCAAGCAAGCTTATGCTTATAGTCTCATGCTTTCTTACGTTATCGATATTCTTGAAGATATAAGTCAGTATGCAGAATTATAGCTTCTTATAGATAAATCGAAGGTTGCAGAAAGTTAAAGCTGTTAAAAATGTTTTCCACCGTTTGAAAAAAAATGAGTAAGTACACTAGAAATCACATCAGACAACTTTTAAATGCAATATGAATAAAATGAATTTGTCAACAGTTTCTTTTGAAGAAATTCTAGAAAGTTTTTATAAATACTTATTCATATAGTACATGATAGCATATATAACATTTTTAATTAAGATGGCTTAGTAAGCTATTTTTTAATTCCAGTAACCATCAATTCATAGTTATCCTTCTTAAAAATTCCTAAGATGATCAAATAAAAGAGCAATCATTGCATAATGTAGATTTGCACGGGAATCACACCTTATAGTTTCGTGATTATTTACGACTTATACCTCAATCTCCAGCATTTTGAATTTAGTGAAATCCGCTTACGCTTTACAGAACTTGCGCTTATAGCAAGTAATCCGATCTCAAGATGAAAGAAGTTATCCAGATATACTTTAAATTGACAATTATATTCACAAAATTGATTTTCTCTATCTCAGCACTAAAGTAATTTGTTAACAGGTAACTGCATTCATTCCGAGGCTTCAGTGCATTTCGAGTACTAGGAAAATAGTATCAAAAATTGGTAGAGTAAACTTTAATAATTCCGCAAAATTTCTGCATTCTCTTCGATATTTTTTTGATGAAACGTATTTGCCGCTCAGTAGTGATTCGTTTGCTTCTTGGCGTGCGCATACCTAGAATATTGTTTTGATGTCTGTACGAACGTGTATACACGCAGTTTAAAACATGTCCAAGAAAATAAGACAATGTATTAAAAGTACATAAATCCCGGTACCAGGAACATTTTGGCATAAAAGTGAAAAAAATTTCTCTTTCTCATGGCAGATTTTGTAAATTAGAGGTTTCTTAGTGAAATCCCAAGATGAATAATTACTTGATTAAATTATAACATTTAATGAAAAGACAATAAGATAAATTTCCATAAGTAATCATCTAAAATACCTATTGAAATTCCACCAGATTTCTACGAAAAAAAAAACTTTTACGATGCTTATTTAATATATTATTTCTACAAAAGGAAAAACGCTTGGGGTAAAGGAAAAGAAAGAAAAAAAGAAAAACACATAACAACATTTCTTTATTTTTCTGTTTTTTTTTTTTTTTTTTTTTTTTTTTTTTTTTTTTTTTTTTTGAGAAGCTCTGGTTACAAAAACTTTCTTTCTTTTAAAAGCTCCAAGACTCTTTCTTTAGTTTCTGCAAGCTCATCATTCTTTCAAAGGTTTGCTAAATCTAACCTTGTTTACTACGTCTAAAACAAAGTTAGAAAATGAGCACAAAATAGTTTGTTTCAACAACTAACATGTTACGTTTAGAAATAAACAATTTAAAAATAAATTACTTTAAGTAGAAAGTGCTGTGGGATATTTGCGACAAAGAGCACACTAGAATATCCATAAAAATTTAAGCTACAGAAGTACTGCGTTAGAAACAGAGTTAGGTAATAGAACATTGCATCTATGCAGTTTGGAAATGCGCTAGCTTTTTTTAAGATTTTTTTTAGCCACATAAAGTTGTAAAGCTAACAAGTTCTGATCTTTCAATTCTTATCTTTCTTAATCACAGTACTCATTCTAAGCATATACATATTAACTTAACCATAAACGTGCATCACTAGAATATATCAGTTATACTTCGATGAGTTAAATGAATATCAGTTGTATTGATTGCGAAGACTTTTGCCCAGGTAGGAGTGAAAGCAATTCTACAGTTAAGAGTCAAAACTAAGCCTGAGCAAAATTAAATGAAACGTATACGCACGGATTTGAAGAACTTTAAAGACTTATGTAGTAGAAAAATGAGGAACACAAACGTACAAGTTAACTTAAGCAAAATTTTCAAAAATTACAAAGACTGCAGTTTTGTTGGAACTTTATTAAAGTTGCTGGTGCGGTGAATGTAATAGAATTCGCAATGCCTCACTCGGAAGTTGGAATGTTTCATCAAAAAAAAAAAAAAAAAAAAGAGAGATGAGGCTTGCTAATATTTACATTAAGTTTCTTCGTTTTCTTTACTATTAAATTCCACAGAGTTTTTCTATCAAGTATTTTATCTCTGTATTTTAGTAGTGTAACAGTCGGCATATCGACTAGGAAATTAAAAAATTTCGAGTTCGACCAGGACAGAGTATGTCTTTCAACTATTCATTTCTAGCTTCTTCATACCTGGCGATCATCTAAACCAGTTGTCTTCAAACTGTGTTCCGCGAGTCAAACCTTGAATTTTCGTGAGTGAAAATAAAATTCGGAAAGAAAATTATACAGCATTCACATTAGCTGACTAGTGTTTATTAACAAAAATCATGGCGATATATTTATTTAGCGTTGAAGAGCGATTTATTTATCATGTGCTTCGTGTTGGCCTGCCTACGTCCTTAAAGGGACGCCAGGAGGGACTAACATCCTAGCGCGACGTGGGAGAATAGCTCCGATTTGTTGATTGTTCAGTCGCTGTGTATATAAAAGAGGTTAACGTTTGCTGAGGAATTTGTATTATGCATGTGGCAATAAAAGTAATATGCATAAACAAATTAAATGCAGACTATTAAATGTGACTGAAGATAACATTAGTAGTGCCAGACTTAACGACCTGATACAAAAAATGCAAGCACATCAAATCATTAAATATAATGAATGCACAGGCTGGAGATACTTTGAGCAAGAATTAATATTATTAATGAGTAAGTTATATTAATTTTATGTTAAAATATTTTAATAAAACATATAATACTTTCTTTGTTTTTACATGAAATACTTACACTGATCTACTTGAAATATTACTTTATGAAGTAATTTTCTAAGGCTGGGATGGAGATTACCGAGAAACGTTATAATTTTAAGGTCACAATTGAGCTAGTTTCATCACTGATCTCAACTAATGTACGATAATTGTCCACCAGATTTAGATAGATCAGGTGGGAATCGGTCACTGTGGCCTAGCTCGCCTTTAGGTAATGAAGAAATGTAGGGAATGTAATAGTAAGTACGTAGAGTTAGTAAATATCCGAGTTCGATTTTGTGCAAATAAAATACGAATTTATCTAGGAATGCTGCCTCAGAACTCTCGTTGTCTCCGCAAGTGAAGTTAAAGTTTGCCAGGAAACAGATTTAATTTAGCAAATTATGGTTCCAGGGTAGACAACTGAAAGAACTATTTTTACAGAAACGATTTTTAATCAAATTACGCATATTTGGTCTATAATTTACAATGTCGAATTTTGGAAAATGCGCAATGAACCTGCAAAACGAATCAAAGTACATAAAATTCCGAATTAAATAACTCATCAGTGTCAATGGGTTTTTACTATTCCACAATAGGACATGGAAAAGGAAAAAAGAATTACTATAGTATTCTGGCAGAATATTTCACCATGAAATAGCTATATATCCTTAAAACACGCTTCTGAAAGATTAAAAAAAAAAAGAGTTAAATTTTGCCGCTATGTCACGAGTCGTTATGGGCGTCATTATACATTTCAATAATTCACATTTTGCTCGAATTGTTAAAAAAATTCTAACATTTATGATGAAGTTGACACTCTAATTTATAATAAAATAATTAAAAGCATACATATGCAGCTCTTATGGAAAAAATAAAAACATCATAAATACTCAAATTTAGAAAAAAAGGAATATGGCAAAACAAATATTAATACAAAAGAAATAACAGCAAATATAAACAAAAAATTACGTAAATTTATAATGCCATTATGACTAGTAAATAGAAATTATTTACTTATAAGGCACGTGTTTCTGGCCGTTAAAAAGCGCTAAGATCACATTCCCCAGGGCGGAGAGAGAGAGACAGCCACCTGAGCTCCCATCCCGAGATTTACTCGTCTTTTCGCAGCTTCCCAGATCAAAGAGATGCAGTCGGCTGCGTCCACCTGCCACTGGGGAGAAATAAATAAGCATAGCATTAATAAATCCGCAAACAAATCACTACTGTTCCGAAGTAAAATTAAGTTATGCTTGCAACACAGATAAGATGCGCATAAATTATTGATTTCATTACAATTGCTAATAAAACAAAACCGTCATGAGATACCAATACACGGTTTAAATGCTTAGAAATCTCTCTAGATAGTATTTTCTGGTGGATAATCGAAGGCGTCGAAACGGATGAAATCATAATATAAATGACTGCATGCAAAATAATTTATACATAATATTTCCCGACTTTAAAGCTGAACTGACAGGGCAGGATTATTTGCTTTTTCAAAAACATTGTTACTATTGCGTGTTTTGATTGACTACAAATAGTGCTGTAAAGAAGTTTAATAATAGTAATTAAGCGAGTAAATATTTTATAGAAAGTTACTTTTCAATACAAGATATCACAAAAACAAATGAGTTTTGTTTTTAAAAAGTCTTCATTCGTACTTTATTGCGAATGTATTCTTCGAATCTTCAGCATAGGATTTTGCGTTAATTAACAATTATTATGATTTGAAACTTTACGATAACTTTTTCTTTCCGTAGTCTTCAACAGAAGCAAACTATTTGTAGATGATTCGATGATTTTAGAACTTTTGGCAACGTCGTTCCAAGTTTACGTCTTATCGCCAGCTCTGCCAACATTTGTTCCTGGTTTAGCTATTTTGCTAGCCACCTTGAAAAGCATGCCGTTGATTAATTGAGCCAACTTAAATAGTTCACTTAGGGTAGTCTGCGATTAGGTTACTTAAATTTGAATGGCGGGATTTCGTTTCATAGCACAGGTAGCGCCTTCTGTCAAATTTTAATAGTTATTACTTAAAAAGATTATTTTAACTTTCGTAAGACTTTGTCACTTTGATTTAGAATACAGCGATAACTCATTTGTCAGTCTAGTAGGATCTGAAGGACACTGATATTAGCTTTTATACAAGTACAACCCTACACAGTGATGGCCATACCCTGGCATACGTTTCTTTGAGCAAATGTTAGCGTCGGCAAAAAATCTATTGGACTATTTGAATCGGTAGATATAATGGTGAATGTGACATTTGTTTTTCAAAAATGAAATTAATGGCGGGATGTATCACTAAACCAAGCTTTACAAACTGTGTAAAAATTAGGTTCTCAGCACATGCCTAAGGAGTGGAACGAGAGGATTCACAGAAGTTGTTAAAAGAGAACATGTATACGTACTTAAAATGACTCGTTTTTACATTGCACTCAGTAACTCGTGAGAACGCTCTGCTCACATGTACTTGCTCGATAGTTTGTGATCCGCGTACACGCTGGCCGGTTGTTTATGTCGCAAATACTCATTTCTAGCTTGCTTGTGAAGCTGTTTCCATTCATAGCTGAATCCGATTCCTATGAATTAAATGAAAACGACGAGGACGAAAACGGCAAAATGATCAAGAACTTTATATGAAGGATGTAATAATTAGAGCAAGGATGACCGGAGTGAATTACGTAAACCATACTGGTAAGAATCCTTATGTATAGGAATGATTGTAATGTGAGCAATACTAAAGAAGCTTGCTGCCTCGAAGATTTCCATAAAATTAGCATCTTCCTAGTATTGCCACATTTGAAGCACGTAAATTTTGCAATCGGCAGATATAGTGGTATATTTTTTTCTTTAGGATTAAAAAAAATCCCTAATTTACACATTTCGAATTATGCCTTTCTACGGGATGTTTTCCTTTTCTTTCACAAAAAAAGGTCATTTCGAAATAACGATCATTTGAGAATTGCTTTTTTTTATTCTTTCGCGGCTTCCATACACAGGGCATAAGTGGTTGGTATCATCAAGGTCTAATCTCTTTAGATTCTGGGTGCCGATACAGCCATAATTGAAAGCCTTTCTATAAAAGATAATCCGTACATAAAGTAAATTGTAAATATGGATTTTTGTCATTCTTTTAAATGGGTCGTGTCTATTGTAAAGTGTTTTAATTTTGTAGCACAAAGTCATACCTGAGGTGTCCGCCCTCGCAAATTCTCATGTCCTTTAAAATGTTTGTATGTATTTTGAGCGAGTTTGTATATTGATCATTTCTCGTTTATGAAGCTTAAACGTAACATACGAATAAATTTCATTATAAAAAAGACCCAACATGATGAGTTGAACACATTTCAGCTCATTTTATGGAAATCGTGGAGGAGGCAAACCTTTACAGAATTACCATAACATGCATGATTTATACTCAGGAGAAATCTCGTTATTATTCGTAATAATAGCTTTAGTAGGGAGTTTCGTAATGATGTTTAGATATATTGACGGTATTGCTCTTTTTTCTACTGGCTGTGCATGTCAAAACAAGAACCACACTCTGTTCATGGCACTCGTCGAATCTGAATTTTTTTTTTTTTTTTAGGGGTCATTCGTTCCTTCCATACGAACGAAAATTCAGAATACACAAGCGCATCATCAGGAGAAATGATCACACCTACAAGTCAGAATAATATGAAGAACTGATGAGTAAACTAAGCACAAAAAGGATGATTTAATGTAATACGAGTAAGGACTGATCAAATCAAGAAGTTCATGAAGTGGTAAGCTTCTTTCTTTAAAACATCATGTATATCAAACGGAACCTAAGGTACGCATACCACAAATGAAGATAAAGTAACCAAGACACCGTAAACGCAGTATTTTATCATAAGTAAACCCAAGGCATCTCATTTCTTACGCGGTTTGAGACTAGACACGTTTAGCCCAATAAAAACGTGCAGCATGCAAACTTGCACGACTCTGCCGACAAACCAGCATTTAGTGAAGAGAAGAATTCGATTAACGAAGAGAAAGTCGAGGATATTCAAAAGTGCATTCAATGCATACCGAGCATACAAACCTTTTCAACGACATCATGCAATAACTGACAACGGGATAAGAAAGTAAGGAGGAGAATGGCGACAAAAACGATTAAAGTTTTATTATTATTATTGGAAGCTTATTTTTTACTTTTATATGTGTAGCAGCTTTCAGACATATTTATATAACAAAATAAAATTTAGTTTTTAATACTCTTTTTATTATTTTATTTTACTATAGATTGCTTGTACTCAGTTTCCTTAAAAATGTTTTTCTATAGCTACATTATCTTAACGTGACATTTGTTTTAAAAAAAACAACACGTTTCATAACAATGTGCATTTTTCTTGTTTTGCGGGAAAGTTGTAAAGGGAATATGAGTAATTTTTTTTTAATTTTGCAGGGAATGGAAATGAACAGCTAAATTGTTTAAAAACGCTGAAACACGGATCCTAGTTATATATATGTCATAATTTTTTATTGTTGACTTATGACAGTCTTGTGAAGAGTAGTATAGGTTTTCTTGTTCCTATAAAATTTCACTTTTGTCACACAGCCCCTTTTTATAGCTAACAATTCATTTACAGCTTTGAAACCCCAACAGTGAAAGCAATTTCTTAATAGTCTTTTTGGATTATTGTAAACAATTATATTCGTAATCTTTTGTCAAAAATCTGGAATAGTATCTGGTTTCATAGGACAAACTCATTTCCTCACTTTTTTGCACCGCCAGAAAATATACGGCATAAGGTCTGTAGGATCGTACTCTTTTTTGTAACATAAACTGTGGTAGATCCTATTAAGGAACCTGGCGATTTCTCGCACAGGTGTAAAGAATACCAGCACAGAAGAACGGTAAAAATAACCCTTTATTCTTCGTCAAGCTCTGGACAGAAAAAGCGCGTACTACGTGCTTACAATAACACCGACAACTTCCGGTGGAACATAAGGCTCGTTATACAATAAATTACAAATTTAAAGAGTAGTGGTGGGATAACAAATTAAGTTAAGACTAACTAGGTTGGCTCAACAACGTACCTGTCGTGATAATTGTTTAAATGGCCAAAATGGCGTATCAACAACTCCACAGACTCGTACCATGCACTGGCTAGCGAAAATACGTTCTGAATAAATTATAAGATTCACTCGTTTAAATACACACTTAACTTTAAATTTCCATCCTGGCGAGGAAATGCGAGGGGAAAATGTGAGGTTCAGGAAAGATTATATAGAAAAAAATCTACATTTAGTTATTGCAGTATCACGTTTTGATGATGACGATAGATCATGAGTTGAAAAATGTACACCAATAGTGTTTACAAATCAAAAGAACATGCACGTGCGTCTTTTAATAATAATTATGTTAGAAATGTAATCCTAAACCGCTCCAACTAATTAAATATACTTCATCCGTCTTTAACATATAATTTACTACTTTGAACTTGCTTTGAACCTTTTGTGCAAGATATGACACCTGTAATAGGATTCCTGATCCATATGAACATCGCTGCTTCTTTCTAAAAAAATAATTTCTGGTGGTGATAAATTTTATATTTAACGAAATATATACTGTTTAAAATAGGATGAATAATATACTAACTGGAAGCTTCGCTTTAGAAACATAGTTTTGTGATCTTTAATGAAGCGTTTTACTAAAAACATATTTCTAGGAACGATGTTTAAGGAAATAAAGTCGAATGCTACTTTTTGTCATTATGGTTATAGATTTCTGACTTAAAATCACGCAAATAATACTAAATATTCAGTCGAAAAGTTAACAAAGTACGAAAGAAGAAATACATTTTTGTCATACCTGAGCTATAGATACAAGTTGAAGATATAGAAATTTAATATGAAATTACAATCTTTTTATCTTAGCGAACCTGATAAGTTCTTTTTATGAATCCAATAAAAAATATTAAGCTGTTTTCTTGGACGTAAGGAAAATGCCAATTCCACCATCTGAACAATAATTACCCATTCCCAGTCGGAGATATTTTCTTTTTTCTCCTTCGAAAGACACAATTTGGTCGGGAATCTTCCAGCTATTTTCGGAAGAAAATTTCGCTTATACCTTTTTTATCGATCCGCCGTCTTTATTTATTTATTTTTTCTTTTCACAAAGAAATATGAGCATCTTCACTTTCCCTTTCATCTACTGATATCGAAGCAAATTCTATTTCAAGCAGTGTACGTATTAGTTTTCTTTGAACATGTTTTCTCCATTTCCCTGAGAAATTTTACACGAAACTTTTTGAACTCTATCATGCACCTGGGGCCATCCAAACTTATGATATAATTTTGCGAGTACTTCCTTCAGATCCTCTCCTATGCGAATTTTAGAAACTCTTATAGTTATAAATATGCAAATATATACATTTATTAAATCCTTGGCTCAAATCTATTATTTAATGAGTTACATACATCTGCGATGCAAACAGTCATTAAGACAAAAACACAAACTGCACATAAATATGCTCTCATATTAAAACACAAATACTGGTGTAAGATTTACATCTGCGTTATACTGAAAGTGCAGAATTCTCAATGAAAATACCAAATATTTACACACCATGAAGGAATTAAATCCTCATCTATTTAGGAACAACCTTATACTTTCAGTTAACGTAATACGTATTTAAAAAAAAATAAGCAAAGTAGAAAACTGATTTACAGAGCAGATAAAACAACACAAAATAATCAAAAGATTTTATGCTCGATAAGTATTATGCAAGAAGAGAAATACATTTAATTAATTAAAATAATGCCGCAAATGTTCGTAAAAATTATCAATTAAACACACTGCATACAATAAACGTATTTAGAAGTATACCAATTAATCAGAATAGTATAAACTAAAATTAAGTTTTAAGTTAAAGGTAAGATAAATCCTAAATTTTCTCAAAGCCTTCCTTATGGATGAGAATTACTTGTATATATATATACACACACACATATATATGTGCATGTATGTGTATGTATGTAAGATATAAAATATTAAAGAAAATTACTAATTAAATTTGAAATAACTCTTTAAACTCCTATTTTAATCTTGGCAACATACCCCTTCAAAGAATCTGTATTGCGCCTTCCACGTCATTATTTCACCTGCAGTAATCTGCAATACAAAAGCTTCTATCCAATGACCACAATCCAATGCAACAGAGGAGCCGAGATATTTATACGCCTTCTTTATCTATGCTAGCTCCTGCTTGGGTAACCCACGTCTCTTCACTTAGCTGTACCAGCTACTATATAAAATGTAACAATATATATATATATATATATATAATTGCGTAATCTGCATATACATCGAAGAGCCATTACATTATGACCAACCTCCATCTATAACAATGGACTCGCCAAAGAACAAAGCCACTGCGTGTGAGCGGCTGATGTTGGAGTATATAAAGCGACTAGCATTGTTGTGAATGGAATGGAAATCTTTCCAAACATAGCGAGATTAGCGACATAATGGATAAAGAAGCTGATTTAACAGACTTCGATAAATGTCAAATCGTTATGGCTCGGCGACTGGGAACATCAATATCAGACATCAATATCAATAACATCAATTTAGTGGGATGTTCACAGGCAGTTGTTGTGAGCTCATACCAGAAGTGATGTAGGGATGACAAGTGATGATGGCTGACAAGTGCCGGCGATCAGTGTGTCGTCGACGGCGCATTAATTCCAGACGAGAGCGAAGGTTGCTACGCATTGTTCGCCGTAACCGAAGAGCTACAACAGCCGAAATCACCACCAGTTACAACAATGACGACTCAAACGGTGTTTTTTAACACACTGTGCAGTGTACATTGCTGAGTATGGGCCTACGCAGCAGGAGGCCGAAGCATGTCTCTGCATTGATGGCACGTCATCGCCAGCTGCGTCTGCAGTGGGCCAAAAAACATCGGAATTGGACATTAGAAGAATGGAAAAAAGTTGCATGGTCGGACGATCGCGTTTTTTGGTCCATCACATCGACGGGCGTGTGCTAATACGCCGATTTCCGAACAAACCCTGGCTTCCTTGCGCAGAGTTGGACGGAGTCAAGTGGGCAGCGGGTGTATTATGGTGTGGGCAATGTTTTCATGTAGCGCATTAGGACTTATGATGCCCAATAAAAATTCTTTAAAAAGGTAATGTGTCTGTTGTAATCTCAGGCTTACCAGGGTCACCAGTGTGACTTGATCGATAGTGAGTTTGGACATTATTAGTTTTAAATAAAAAATCTGAATTAAAGGTTTAAAAATTTTTAGATTTTCCTGAAAGTGTATGGCATTTGATTTTTCTTAATGTTTTGGAGAGAAATTAGGGTTCTGTATTCAGGATTTATTCATATTAACTTGTAAAGATATTTTCTTTTTAGTGCTCTACTAATCACTCTCTCCTCTATTTTCTTCTATAATTACATAAACAAATCAGAAGAGCAAATGTGAAGTCCAGAATTCAAAGACTTGCATATTTTTATGTTTCCTACTTGGGTAAACTTAATAATTCTACAGTTGCACCCGAAAACAAATGTGGTAGGCGATAATTTGTCGCCGCCAGGATTTGGCGACTAAGTCCCAGCCTTCCTTGTTATTCTTTAAGTGGGGAAGAAAGTAAAGCACTTTGTCCAACATTACCGCGCGTCTTTCTCCGTCCACCGGGAGAAAAATTCTAATGTCGGTATCGATTTCACAAAGTAAAGCAGTGAAGAGAATATCATATTAAATTATTACACGCTTGACAAAAGTTTGAAACTACTTACTGATGTAGCAATTGTGCAAAAATGCTTCATGAATCTTTTTAATGTATTATTTGATAAATCTACTAATGAAAATAGAATAGGTTTGCAGATTAAAAGCATACAACTCCAAATTTAACCTGCATTGGGTGCGCTGAAAATACTGCATAATAAGTTTCGTCTTCGTAGGTATTGGTAGCGATTAGAATTTAATTCATAAGAATCTCTTGAAATTTTTTATGAAGAATTAAACCACAGGCAAAGGTTATCTCTATATTATTTAGAAATAAATTACACTGATATAAGATTATTATTATTATTATTATTATTATTATTATTATTATTATTATTATTATTATTATTATATTATTTGTGCACAGATTCGTTTGTTTCTTATGATCCGTTCGTAATGGAATCTGGATACGGATTTATTTCTCTATTGAACAAAATGTAACTTAAAAAATCTTTTTATCATTTTACTATATCTTTCGTCAATAAATGCTTGCAACATTTGCTTCTATGGCTCAATTTGGCGCCGCGATGAAAACTGTAATAAATGTGTAACTTTTATTCTCTCACGAGAATTAAGGTACAAGAATCAACTCTAGCTTCAAAAACAGTTGCCCAACCGTTCTGAAAATTTTCGACATTGCCTAAATTATTATATTTCTGTGCAATGATAAGCAAATACATATATGTATACAGTCACATAATTTAATAACAAGTGATATTTTGATTCCAAAAACGTTTTATCCGCAAATAAGTAGATTAGAATCGACGAATAATATTTATTACGTGGCAGATTAATGAAAACGTTTTAATGAAAATTAATGATGTTTACCTCCTCCCCGTCCTCCTTTTTCGACTCTGTATTGGTAGACATGCAGAGTGAACAAAAAATGAGCATTTCTAGCATCCTCTTCGTTTTCTAGAGTGAAGCAAAGAAGGTTAATGTTAATATATACAGGAATCTAATAAATGCAAAAAATAAATCAAAACACTTTTTTAGCAGACTAAACTGCTATTAAAGATTTCATAAACATTAAAGTAGTCATAACATTTTTATCTTATTTTTATCTTATGTTTTTTTACCTTCTCACCTCTTTTATGGCAGATTATTATACTATGCTTGATTCATTAGATACAGCGAAACTCTAAATTGACAAACCTATTAGTTTTAAAGCATTCTTATTTCTAAATATCCATACAACCAGGCACCAAATCCCATTAGCGCATTCCTGAATTTCCAATAATTTCGATGTCTTTTTCCTGTAGACTAAATGTGCATTTACTGCAATTCAAACGAGAAAATTCCATTTTCTTATTTTAATCTGCTGCCTCGTAAACTCCTTTCTTCACTGAGATAACAACACATTTTTTCATGGTGCTATATTTAAGAATTAAAGAACTATTACCCTTATATTCAAGGGGAAAACTGCACGCAAAAAGCAATGCAACACACATTAAGGCATTAAGAGAAAATAACTGATTTCATTTACGTTGCACAATATAAGCCAGACATTCTTCGTGGAAAGGGAATTGACGTAACGCTTAGATTTCTGTTGAGCTAATTTTAGAAAAGAAGAATTTGTTATGGAGTGATAATGGCTTGTGGATAAAGAAGGCAGACCTATGTACAGTTTATAATTATTATTTTGTTGACGATAAGAAGCAGTATATACTTGCCAAACATTGTGCGCCAACTCTACAGACATTTATCCAAATCAATTTAAAATCTATTTAAAATTTGTGTACTGCACTGTATTACCTTCTTCTAATATTAAAATCATCAAAAATGTAAGCTGCGTTAGTAAATTACCGAGAAGCTTTATTTTATTTAACTTGCAAAGGAAAAAATGGAATACCTCAGCAGTTCCTAATATATTAACCAATTTTCAGTCCACGATTTTAACTGATCATGAATAACTATGCTAAAGCTTTCGCTTTGGAACTAGCGCGTATATTTTCGCATATGATTCCGGTGGACTTTTGATGCAACTGATAGCTTTTTCTTTAGTTTACTCTTTTATGAATCTCAGATTATTGCATTTAGTTACATAATCAACAGACCCAAATTAGTACAGCATAAGAAAGCTTATAATAATAATATAATAAGTAAGAATAAATATATAAGTTCAAGCGAAAACAAGCTGATTAAAATTTGCATCAAGCATTCTGGGGGGGGGGTGGAGCTATGAAAAAGTTGTCGGGATTTATACTGATTTTTAACTAACAAGTTAAGTTTTAATTTTAAGCTTTCTTATATGCCTTCATTGTCCTAACTGTCAATGCCAAAATTTTAATTTGGTAGAGCGCGTGAAGGAATGCAAATTCTACCTTGTGAAGAAAGATCTTAAAAACCAAAGTTCAGTAGGAAAGTTAGTGAGAGTTAGGCTATTGCCGTTATTGCGTAAGCTTCTGCTCTCGAAGTCATTGCGGGTTTTCGTAGCATAACTGCATTTATTTGCTGCCACTAGTTCCGACGCGGGTTTAAAAAACAGGAATTATCTGAGCCCTGTAGTTTAGTTCAACTACTTGTGCATATCTTCAAAATTTTAGTTTAGTTCTATGATTTCCGTTACCGCCCAAAAAGAGGCGTAGTATGTTAGCATCGAGTTGACGTATTGTAAATTTTAAAGAGTCTAATAAAGGGTACTTTTAAATCTTCTTCTGTGCAGTTACTGCCTCATTCTGGCCCATCTGTCTCCTGCCCGCCATAGGGAAAATTTATGAGAAACTTTTAGTTCAGAGAATAAAGCACTACTTGGAGATTAAGGGTGAGATCACGGACTCTCAGTATGGTTTTAGAGAGCAGCGCTCAACTATCCAAGCTCTTAGTGCCATACAAAAGGGAATCTATGACGCGTATGACTCTAACAACCATGTAGCCGTACTCAGTCTGGATCTGAAAAGTGCGTTCGATTCCCTGTGGTGGCCAGCAATCCTGGAGGCACTTCACGACGCACAGATCCTTGATAATCTGCTGCAGGTGTGCAAAAGTTATCTCTCTGATCGCACTCTTGTAGCAGTGCATGACGGAGGAGTTGTTGAGAGAAAGCAGACCAGAGGATGCCCTCAGGGTTCATGTGCAGGTCCTGACCTGTGGAATGCAACTTTTAATTTCATTCTCAAAGCACTGTGGCCAACCTACACAAAGGTGATTGCTTTTGCTGATGACGCGACATTTATCATCAGAGGCAAATCGAGAGACAAGCTGGAAAGTAACAGTAATGAGACTATAGCACAATTTGTATGGCTCTCTGAAGGCAAGAAACTCACCATTTCGGAGCAAAAGTCAAAGTATTTGATCGTACACAAACCAGGTCAAACTCTTGCAAGAAATCCAGTTTTGAAACTAAAGGGCCGTACAATCAAACGAACTCGGGAACTAAAACTGCTGGGGCTTATAATCGATGAAAAGCTCTCCTGGCTTCCTAATCTCAGAGCAATCCGCGCGAGGACACACGCAATTTCAAATACCTTAAGGAGGCTTCAAGGCTCAGACTGGGGCCTTAGACTACATATCCTAAAAATCCTCTATCAGTCCGTCGTGGAAAAAATGGCCCTCTATGGAGCAGCAATCTGGGCACTCCAATGAACGAAAGGAAAAGGAAATTGCTCAGTAGTATACAACGCCCCTTGGCTCTGGCTATTACAAAAGGATACCGTACAAGATCGATAGCGGCAGCCACAATACTGGCGGGATTTTTGCCATTACATATTAAAGCAGCACAAGAAGCAGCAGTAACGACTGTTCTCCAATTACATCTCTGCACTACTTTTGGACCGCTATGCTATGATCCAGAGGAGTATGAAACAAAACGTCTCATAAATGCAACCCATCCTTCACACCATGGAAAAGGGGTTGTAGCACACACCACCTCTCAGCACAGCCTCCATGAAAAAATAAGGCCAGTAAATGTCATCCATTCGTCTGACTACGGAAAAGGAGTCTCGGCCCACACATCATGGAAAGATGACTCTGACATAAAGGATCAATATTATGTTTATACGGATGGTTCAAAAGTTGACGGAGAAGTAGGCTATGGCCTTATAGTAACTAAGAACAAGGAAACGCTGATAACATGGAAAGGTCATATGGGACAGAATAATTAAGTTTTCCAGGCTGAAGCAATTGCGATTCGCAAAGCTATCGAGTTAACATGCCCCCCAGTAGGATCCACTATTAATATTCTTACAGACAGCCTCTCGGTCATATATGCCTTACGAAATCCCAGACATCCTTCTCCTATCATAGCGGAGATTCAGGACACGCTGAAGGAGCGTTCGTCGACAATGAATATCCTCATATCTTGGATAAAGGCACATGCCGGCATTCAAGGTAATGAGGAAGCCGACAGGCTAGCAAAAGAAGCAGCTCACAATATCGATGCACAATGCGTAATTACCAAACTCCCGTGGTCTCACCTTAAAAAAGTGACAAGGACAGCAGCTCAGCACCAGTGGCAATGGGAATGGGACTCTACCGAACAAAGTAGGGGACGGGGACAGGGAAAAGTGTACGGAGCACCAGAACTTCGTCAGTGACTTTTACTGGTACTGCTCCGCCGCACTACTGTACCCCGCTGGGCTTTTAGTTGGCTCGCATCGGATGCTAGCCTACCAAGACATTTACATAGTAATTTTACATTAATATTAGACTTACGTATTGAATATACAATTACAAAGACATAGTATACAATTATTACAAAGAAATTAACCTATTAACAAAAGTTGGATAATGGCAAATTAATATAACATAATTACTTCGAACATACATACAAACCTTCACTGTACATTGTACTTCATACAAACAATATATTTACATTAGTAGCGGGAAGACCTATGAATATTACCATAAAGTTTCGCTCGATCGTCTCGAGTCATCCCCACAAATAACGAGATTTGTGACGGGGCAAGGGCCTTTCCTCTCCTTTTACTATGAGAGAGGAATTGCAAATACCGAAAACTTCTCATAAGCGTTATCTGATCAAACAGCCAGCATTTCACATCAAAATATGCAAGATAATGCAGAAACTGGAGGAATTGCGAACATATTTGTGCAGTGTGGAGTAGTTCCCTGTCAATCTCTCTTCTCTCTCTCTCTCTTTTTTCTATCTTTTTTTTTTTTTTACATTTTTATTGTATATATTATGAAACATGTATGTATTACGGCCCACTGTATATATTATGAAACATGTATGTACTATAACCAATGAAAATTATTATGAACTATATATGTATTATGTAACAGGCTCAATATATTATGAAACATGTATGTACTATGGCCAATGAAAATTATTATGAACTATGTATGTATTATGTAACAGACTCAATATATTATGAAACATGTATGTACTATGGCCAATGAAAATTATTATGAACTATGTATGTATTATGTAACAGGCTCAATATATTATGAACTATGTAAGCAAGTATGAACTATGTAAGCAACTATGTACTATGTAAGCATGTATATGTATGAACTATGTAAGCAACTATGTACTATGTAAGCATGTATATGTATGAACTATGTAAGCAAGTATTATGAAAGATCTATGTATTATGAACTACTTGTATATAAGCATGTACTGTGAACTATGTAACTATGTAAGCATATATTATGAACTATGTAACTATAAGCATATGTTATGAACTATGTAAGCATGTATACAGGACCAATGTATGCCCTTATAGGCCCCATGAGGTGTTGCCCCGGATAGTTGCGGAACCTGGACTAGACCCGAATAGTCTTAGTAAGCCGCACGGGTGTCCAGATTCTGCTCTCAACTCAACTCAACTCAACTCTGTGCAGTTACTACTCTTCCAGTTCTCACTTAGAAGTTAGACAAGTGAACACTACACAGTAACAAAATAGTCATTTTCTTTGTGAATTCGAGGTCATATACGTTGTTTTTTTAATACAAATCTAAGTGGCACCGCGTCGTTCTACAGTGTTTTCATTGCATCATTTTGCAGAATCCCCGAGTCTTTCCAGAATTTAATATGCAAACTAATATTGAAATCTACAAATTCATACCATTAATTTACTTCAAAATGTCTCTGCAGCTTATAATTAGTGGGTTATTTAGTCTTCCCAAGAATCCGATATAATTGTGTGACAAAAAAAGAAGCTTCCTCGTTTGCTTACCTAGAATCAACCTGGTTTAATCATAATAACCAAAGGAAAGATCTGATTGTGTTGAGACATCACACTTATCCAGAACTGGGGCTTAATCGCACCAGCTGGCGATAGTTTTCTTTGTCTTTTTTTAAGACGACAGCAAAATACATATGCGCCATTTCCAGTATAATATTTAAATCTTCATGCATAATAGGTAGTCCGGAAACGAATAGCAGCAGCCCATACGAAAGTTATACAACATAAATTGACTCAACAGGAAAATTATAACGATGCCACTTTTTCTGTCCGTCGAAACTCGATCCGTATCCTGTTATGGCGTATAAACTCACCTGTGTTTCATATACTTATCCTGTACTGTAGCTGAAACATCTTTTAAATGTCGAATATTAGTTCAAATAGTACGAAAAAAACGAATGAACGAAAAAAAAAACACTTATACGAATAAACGGGAAAAAAACGCAAATTCAGCATGTTGCTATCATCGAGAAAGAAATAAAAATTTATTCTTTAAACAAAATAATGTAGTTTTTTTAACACAATACATTTGTAACATTCAGTAGACGGCATTTCAAACAACTTCATAAACTTTAGCAAACTCAGTCATGAATGAACAATACCTGAAGTTCTGGCAGCTAACGCTGCGTCCAGTAGGAAAGCAGCTCTCTCCGCAGTTGGAGCTCGAAGTTCACTCTGGTTCATAAGCTGTGATCCAAATACGGGATCGTCCCTCAAGTACACCCCTGGGGCGGATCCGCTGCCCTCGGTACCTGTAATGGATGAGACCGCAATTTGAAACCACTTCCCAGGACGGCAATTATAACATTTTTCATTAATGAGTTTGTCGTAGACAAGTAATTATATGACAGGAGATGGAGTATGATGTAACATGAATAGGAGGGGAAAAAAGTCTACCAATTATTTTGCCTAAAATGGGTAATTTCACATTTTTATTATATTCCTTTTGAACTTCAGCCAACGTTTTTCTTTCATGTTTATTTATATACGGATATATGCATCTTTACATAATTTTTTAAGTTAAATTACATCCCAGGAATGATAACAGCAGTATTTTAAAACTTCATATATAATTTACAAGGCAAAAGAAGACTACCATCTGAATTCTTTGTAACATCGCATTCCGTCTAATTTAATTTCAATAATGTATAAAAAAATCACTTTAAATATTCAAATAAATAGTTTAATTTACATATATCTTTATTTGATGATTTACTATGCACATCTTCACTACGTGCTAAAAGTATTTATTAATCCTTATTGCTAAGGCTTTCTCGAGAAACATATGAGTTAGGTATCAGTTTTTTTTTTTTTTTTTTTTTTTGGGGGGGGGGGTGGCAGGTATGTTATGACAGCGTTCTGTATAGTTAAACTTAACAACGAATGGCTTGATTTTGAGTTGATACTAACAATAAAAATGGGTTGCATTCTATAATTAAATGGCAAAGAGAACGCTAAGAAATATTTAAAACCCTTACAATCTGATGTAACGAATAACTGAAATATTATATGACAATTAAGGTATGTTTTGAGATATTAAGGAAAATTACAAGGTGATACCAAATACATTGAAGACAATGCCTGTAAATGTATTTTCACCGCAGAAACCACTGCATAAAGGAGAAGTACTCCAATGCTCGCAGTCCGGCATATTTTCTCTTTACCAATCAGTTATAAAACTAAGTATCATTCAATACGCATGCTCTCAAGGATGTTTAAAATAAATAAATAAATAAATAAATATTAAATATTATTTCAAACAGAAAAATCAGTTAAGTGAATACACACCTGCAGCATAATCAGCCAGCAGATCTCGCAGCTCCTCAACTTTACCCGAGACTTCGACAGCTGAAACCCGAACCGAAAACCTGGCACCAGTCCGATGTTTGTGTTCGTTAATTGCACGAAACAGCCACCAGATAGCACACGGTATCACACCAAGCTCTTGAACTGAATTACTGTTGCCAATCATAGTGCTCGTTTTCCCTGGGAGGAATAAAATATGAATAATTTTAAAGTTCATTTGTGAGGGTATGGAAAAGATATTACCAACCATTGCATATAAATTGTAAAAGAAAAGTGTTTTTCATAATATGATTTTAAAAACCTTTTCTAACATTTCAATATTATATACTTCTATAAAAGTATTTATAAGATGAAATATCATTCTACCTCAGAGTGAAAGAGGACCATTTCTTTCTCTTTAGTTAGAAGTTTTTATACTCATCTCAGGAAAAGTATTGTACAAAATATCATTACCTTATGAGTATTTAAAGTAAACTATTTTTAAAGGAAATAAAACTCGATGAACCAGATAGAATTTAAATCAGATCGCAAGCAGCTCCGTAAAATTACTTTTAAATGCTACCACGGGACAATAAAAAAAGAGAACATCTGCTACTTTAATACTGATTGCATATATAAAAGTTAGAGTAATCATTACTCAGTAGCAGCATTATCGAAAGAATTTTATTATGAAAATATTATTGAATCTAGATATAACAATCAATCTGATATGTTTTGAACACTAGTCTTTACTTTTATTTCCTGAATTATATCATCTGAATATAAGTCTTAGCAACTGTCCTTTGAATATAATTCTTACGAACATCAGTCGTAAAGAATAATAGCACGTATTTCTAAATGACCGTTTCTTGGCAGAAAAAATCTGTTATATTTTGCTTTAGTGAGAACACAAACAATCAACATATATCTGAAGGATTTAGAGAAACTTGAAACGCTTTCAGATAATGAGACAGTTTTAAATTTCAAATTTAGGAGAACCAGAGACTTATGAATACACTTTCCGAAATGTTATAAAGTAAAATCAAAATGCATTCCTTTTTAAGCTGATAGAAAGATGTTTACTTTGAATTATCTCGAATGAATTTACGCTTTTCAAGATAAAATAAAATTAAAATGAATCTCAGAAATTTCGTCGATTGTGAGTTTTCTGGATGTTTATTGAACATAAGCAATTATGAAAGCAAGTATTTGTCATTTTAGTGAGCTCACAAAACTTCTGGATAAAGCGCATATTTTATTAATAAAATACGTATGTTCCAAATGATAAATATTTTAATAAGATGAATAATGATGAAAGCTAAATTTTGATAAATAAAAGGTAAATTAAAAGTATTTTTATTATATATGATGAAACTGGAAACAATTTTAAAAACCAAATGTAGAAAAAAGAATTTATGTCGTAGATCTCTCAATCAACATTTGATATAATAAATGACAAACTGGTAAATTTTTATGTCACATTTAAAAAAGAAAACAAATCGAATCAGAGACCAATTTTAAAAATTTGCTAAATTACTGTACTACAAAATTTTTAGCGACACATTTTTAGCTTAACAGTACAGTCACCATTTTAGAAATTCGTGACGGTACTGTTAAATTTTTAGAAATGTACGTAATCAATAGTAAAAATGTATACAATAAACAACATAAAGCGCTTTTTAAGTTGCAAATTAAAAAAAAAATTATATGTTTAAGGATGGCTAAACTAATAATAGACGCAATTTAGAGCGCTATTTCCATATGAAACCCGTTTTATTATACTTCAAGTATACTTACATCTGCTTGCGAATTTTAGACAAAAACATTTCCTCTTAGTCGCTTAGTATGTTTTGGTTATTTATTTTTTATTTGTCTTTATTTTTAGTAAACCTGAGCCTTAAACAGATAATTTGAAAAAGTTGAAAAATATTTTTTTAATGAGAGAGAGAAAAAACAATATATTAAGAAAATCCGTTTTTATCGGGTTTTTTTTTATCAAGCAGATTTTAATACACTATTTCTTACACAAACTGTTTGTAAACTTTTAAGACGAAGTTCTTGCTAATATTTTGAACATCAAATACTTAATTTCTTAAACGTTTTACATTATGATAATTTTATGAAACCATCAATATGATCTTAATTTTTAAAATATGAAAGCATTTGTAAAATTTAGTATTTTCCTTCCTATTTCGTGGACCAATTTTGGACTTTTTGGACAAAGAACGTTGAAAGATTAAGATTTAATCTTGTTTCGTCTGATAAATTCCTAAGAAATGTAACTGTAAATTTAGATGTATGTATGATGATTTTATGGTAATGAAGTTTCCACTCCTTTATGTTTCTCTGTATAAACAGTAATAACACGAAGAGTTATATTTCGGTTTAACCATTTTTATTTCACTTATCACAACTCAGTAAAGAAACATTCTTTGGATTCTTAGTTTGTAAGTCTTTTTTTCAGTCTTTATTAGCTGTTTAGATAAGCGTTTCATGAAAAGCTACAGCATTTTTCTGTTTATTATTTTGCTTATATGATCTGAATCAAAGATTTTATAACATGATCTGATTTAGCAACATGCTTAAGCATAAAGCAGCAAATGTCCTATATTTTAAATTATTTTATGGATTCATAGAAAAGCTTATTTTAATGCAGCATTCTTAAGACTAGCAAAATTAAAAACCTACATTTATAATTATAAATTATCCAAGCCAAATATACCAACATTTAATAGCAAAACAATAAGCTACGATTTATAGAAAAAATTCTTGTCTTACTGTTCTGTTTGTTGCTGACACAGAGGTATTAACATACGTTGCGACTGCTCTTTATTTTGTCGGTTTCGTTTAAGATCGGTGGCGTTTCTTTCGAAACAAAAGTTAAATTCTTTCTGACATTTTTTTTCTACCTTTCTAAATTAAAATAACTTTTAAGGTTTTCTTGTTTAATAACATTTGGTCATTTTTCATTTCAGAATTTTACTCAATGGGTTTCACAGCATTTATTGTACAGAATCGGATTACTTTTCTAGAAAAAGAGGAAATTCCTACCTTACGATCCAAAACATGTTTATTTACGCCATTTGTATAGCCATCTTACCAAACTACACCGCGCAGTGCTTTGATTTTAAACTATGTACTTAAGCAAAATGGTTTCGTAAAACATTTCGCACACTTACATTATTTAATCTAATGCAAGCATTAGCACTGGTTTTGCTTAAAACTCTTACGAAGAAATCTTTTAAATTTATGTAAAGCGGGAACAGAGAATTAATTACCTAACTTGGAGTGGCCGTATACGAAAAGACAACCATCCGATCCACCGACCACGGAACTGATGACGTCACAAAGGGAGCTAGAGCACACCTCGGCCTGAAAAGAAAGCAAAAGAACAAAATCGATTGGTCACTATTCTTTCACTGCCATGTGTCGACAGCAATTAGGACGTACTCCAAAGATTTTCCGTCATTTCCTTTCCTCCGAATACTCTTGAGAAGCATAGATCGACAGAGAAACAAACCGAAAGAGTTTTCGATTTCTCATTTTCAGCTTCTGTCACTATTATAATCGTCGAAAGGTATTTGATCCTCCGCGCATTTAACTAATTTGTTCCATTATTTTACTTTAATGGTTTTCAAACAAATGTTGGCAGTAAGATATTAAGCATTTTCCTTTAAATCTATGACATTTTTCGTTACGGTAGAAATTTACAATAAGAAAAATTGCAATGCTTATCCATTTTCGTATCAGCAAATGAATAAATGCTTTTGATAAGTAAGATTAATTTGAAAGGTTTTCCAAAACTTTAATCTTTAAGATTTATTAAAAGTCCTATTAAAATCTTCAATTTCCGGGTATGCACTAAACTCGTTTCGTACACTGAAATTTAAGAATTTTTCCGCAGGTAATGAGTAGTTGGTTATTTATCTGAATACGGTATACGAAAGTTATCAGCCTGAATGGAGTGGCCTTTTGGAGGATTTGCTTATAAAAATTGGCTAAGATTCACTTCACACCACGAAAACCAACCATGAAGCCAGTTCGTTCGCTTGGGTTTGAATCGAAGACGAACTACCAGTGTTCAGTAACCTTCAATCGCTCGGCCACCGATGATGCGTCGCAAATAAGAACACTGGTTAATATTTTAAATATATTGAGAAGAAAATATAAAAAATATTATTAAGTATAAGTCTAAATGTTTAAAAGGAGCGCATTCATGAAATAAGCTTCATTATAGACAAAGGCACAGAAATAAGAGGGAGGGAAAAGGGGAGGACAAAAAAAGAATCGTTTTTAGTTTCTACAAGGAGGAGGACACAGGATAAATTTATAAAACACTGATTTTTTTTCATTTATCCATATATACTTAGTACATGCGACATGCGACGGAGGACGTGGGCACCACCCCTCTACCAATACGGTTAATCGGTATAGCGCCACTTCCACCTTTATCTAGATAACCATACGTGTTCATTGTGCTAATATACTAATATATAAACATACATACAAATTTGGTACTTCATACAGTGGCGTTAAAGCTAATTAATGTTAGACACTGGATAATACTTTGCCATGTTACAACGTGTATGCAAAAGCATGGATACGATAGCATATATACATAACGTGTGTACTCATATGTTGAGTACACTATGACCCTTTGAAGCATTATCATTAGATTACAGAAGACATGTACATACTGAAATATTAGGTGCGCAATGTTATGCTGGAATAAGTAATTAGTACAGTGAATTAAAAGTTAGACCCTAGATTAGTACTGTGTAGTACAGTGTCTTTGGTGCAATTAATTTTAGAGTGGGGCTCTAGTTAGTTCTTTGCGATACGGTGCCGTGTTACAGGATAAAATGTGCAGATGCATAGTTACATTATCATATATACAGAACATAAATTCATATACATATATACAGACACATTAGGTACATGATTATTCAGTGCGTAATAGATGTATATTAACTATACAGTGCCAAGATATGTGATAACACTAGTAGATACATGGGTACAATTACATATAAACAAAGACATACACAATTACATATAGACAAAAGCGTATATACGCTATATATTTTGGTACACAATAGTCATTGGTGACATAAACATTTCGTACTTACTTCATATACTGAAACTCTAGATCCATAAAATAATGTTATAACTAGTAATAGGTGCTTATTTAATTTCATAATAGGACACTACGTTGATATTTTGCCTTACTGTGTCACGTTACGTAGAAATGTATGCGGGTGCATGGGTACAGCTTCCTATTTACAATGCTATACTGTTTTCCTATTTACAATGCTATACCTATTTACAATGCTTATATCATTCGATTTCATAATCAATAGGTACATGGCACATTTATATACATGAGCAGATGGTACATTGTAGAGTGCCGTTGAGGATAATTGATGCAATTAATTTTATAGTATTTTAAAAATAATGCATTTATACGCAATTATAGGGTGCATAATTGTCATTGGGTACATATACAATAGGCGCATAATACATATACATATTCATATATTAGTTTCTTAATACAATGCTAGGGCAAGTAATTGGTGCTGTTATTTTTACATGTTACATGATGCTGTAGGCGATTGGATGGATAAACTAATATATATACTAATATACATATACACAACTTTTAGGCACATAATAATCACTAGATTCTCAGACATTAGGTACATGGTATACATATACATATATAAACAGATGGTTCATAATACAGTGCTATGGAAAGTAATAAATGCAGTTAATTTTATAGTAAAATTCTAGTTTAACACTATGCGAAACGGCTTCATGTTACACAGTGTTAAATACTGACGCATGAATACAGTAATATTTCTACTTGTTAATACTATATATATAAAAATATACAAATATTTTTAGGTGCATACTTAACATAGGATACATAATTATTAGATGCACTATGCATATACGTACATAATACATAAGATTAGTACAATGCTGGAACAATTCATTGGTGCTGTTAGTTTTAGTGTAAGATCCTAGTTTAACGCTATGTGGTACAGTGCCATACTACAGGATGATATGCGCGGAGCCATGGATGCAGTTATATACATACTAAAACACGTATACACAATTATTAGGCACGCAGTAATCATTGGATTTATAAGCATTATATACATGGTACATATACAGACGATACATAATATATAAAAACAAATATATATATAATAATAATGCTATAGAAGTTAGTTAATGCAATGGGGTTTTTAGAATTAAGACTTTAGATTAACACTATGCGGTAAAGTGTCATGTTGCGTGATGTTATATTCGGATGCATGGTTACATTATCATATATACGAGGATATATATACATATTATTAGGCACATAGTAATCATTGGGCTCACAATCTTAATGCACATAGTGCCTTAGTCTCGTGGACTTGAAAGTACGTAATAAGGTTCAAATGGTGCTATTAATTTGATGATGATGCTAAATAATATTAATACAATAATGCAGCAATGATTAATACAGTTAATGATCAATACAGTAACATTTATACTAGAACATATATATACAAGTACAAGGCGCATAATTACATTGAGTATAGAAGCATTGGGTGCATTATACATATACATACATAAAACATAACTACATGGTGATGGTACTTAAGATACATTTATAAACAGGTACAGATGGTCCTTATTTACATATTGCGGTACAGATAATAGACATAATTCGTTTGGTTGGCATAATGCAAATTGATTAAATAGTTTATTCTTGCTATATTACTAGGAGTGTTGGACACTCCTTACGATAATTCACAGTTATTTTGTGGTGTTGGTAGTTGGTGCTAGACACTGAATTACTATTCGTCTATATGGCTAAGTATGGCACAGGTCTGTGTTAAGATCGGCCAGTTTATCCATTAAAAGCCCTATTTTTCTAACCAAGTGCCTCTGTTTTATCAAAAACTTACAGAAAGCTTGTCGATTGGTCGACGGAAGGTTGATGTGTAGCCCTTCTGTAAGGGGACAGGAGGTTAGATAATGCTCCGGAGAGCCAGTCTGTCCACAGGCGCACTGGCTAGTGTTACTTATCCCGCGTTTGTTAAAGTACTCGGGAAATGGTCCGTGACCCGTAATGTATCTTACCAATTGCATGTTTGCAAAATTTTTGGTAGTGTCCACGTAGCTGACATGGTAATAAGTCCGTCGGCCGGTATCGCTGTTATCCCATGTCTGCTGCCATTTCCCGATTGCCTTTAAGCGCAATGTTCTTTTCAGGTAAGACACTGGCCATGGGATGTTGATTTGTTGAGATGTTGCTCCTGTGGCAGCTTCTTTGGCTAGATGGTCAGCCAACTCATTGCCGTGGTGGCCGGCATGCGCTTTGATCCATTCAAGTCTTGTATGGAGTTGGGAATTTTTTCGCAGATCTTCCTGTATTCCCTGAATAATATCGGAGGGGTGGTCAGGGTTTCCTATTGCGTATAGCGAAGAAAGACTGTCTGTCTTTATTGTAGCGTTGCGGGAGTGGTGGGATTGCAGGTAGCGGATTGCTTGCGCAATTGCCACTGCTTCTCCCTGAAAAACGCTATTAAATTGCCTTAGTTGACCCTTCCATTGATCTATGACTGTATCTTGCAGCATGACCACATAGGCACTTCCCACGTTTTCGTCTATCTTCGACCCGTCAGTGAAGATAGTAATCTGTGCTGGACGGTGGGCCGTAGTTGGATTGGTAATTATGCTTATTCCGGTGCCTTTGGCTGCTGGATGGATTTTCAGAGGGCAGCATTTAGCTTCATAGTCCTCTGGATTAAAATATTCTTCCTCAAAGGTGACAGGTCTTTTAAGCTGCAGGACGATTTGTCTTGCTGCCTCCTCTTCGACACGGATGTGTAGGGGAAGAAGGCCAGCCAGCACGTTGATCGCGTCTGAAGACGTCGTGCGGTAGGCTCTAGTGATACCCAATGCAAAAGGTCTTTGAATGGTAGAAAGGTGTTTAATTTTCCTGCTTTGCATTGGGTGAGCCCATACTGCTGCTGCATAAGTGACTATCTTTTCCACCACTGTGGTGAAGAGGACCTTCTGAATATGAGGATTGAGGCCCCATTTGTGGCCATGAAATAATCGCATTTGCTTCGCTATTGTCACTGTTCTAATTTTGATGTCCTGGATGTGTGGTATCCAGGTCATCTTGTGGTCGAACGTAAGGCCCAGATATTTTAGTGTGACTATTTGTATCCTCTGATTGTTGATCAGGTCATCTTGTGGTCGAACGTAAGGCCCAGATATTTTAGTTGATTGACTATTTGTATCCTCTGATTGTTGATCTTAATGGTTGGTCTTCTTGAAAGAGAACCTCCCTTTTTAGGTATTAATAACAC